CCTATTCCGTTGGATGGCACACAGCCTGGCAGATCAACATTTTCAATCCTTCGAAGAAGTCGAAAAATGGATTGCATGAAGGATAGCGTCAAAAGAGGACTCCTTCTTTCGAGCCGGGATCCGAAAATTGCCGGAAAGATGGGAGAAAGTTGTCGCTAGCGAAGTACAATACTTTGAATAATATATATGTAAGCACAATGCGGGGACTTTAGTTTACACCAAGTCACATCCGCATGGCCGATGGATTCTTACGAGGAGCTTTTATTTCGTGTCAAAAATACTAACTTTTTAATAATTTTTGGATATTGGTCGGACGAGGACTCGATCCCTGGACTTTTCAAATAATAGTACCCAAAGCTAACCACTCGGCTATTGCGTAAAGTAAAGTTTTAAAGCATAAAGTGTTTGCAAGTTTATTGTAATGTTAAAGACTCGTTATAAAAATTAATTGCCATATTATATAACATTTATTGCCTCTTCTATTTGTTTTGTTTGTTTTTACCAAGTATTTTCAATGACGCAACAATGAAAACTAACGTTTCCACTTTTTTTTCTGTTTTTCAGGTGAGCTTTCAAAAACTATGTCATCGCAACACAGTCAGTCGATTTGGTTTCCGATAAGAGTGGCTGAGTGTGGCATACTTTAAATGAATGTTATTTCCCCGTTCGCTCACTCATCACCGTATTTCGCTACGGATATGAACGGAGATCAAAAGAAAGGAAGTACAAAACATAAACACAAATCTAAACACGCGCAGCGTTCCTATCGTTTGACGAAGGCGTCAACAAAAAAAATAAGTTCAAACAAATCATCGTGAGTACTTTTAACCATAACTCAACGTTGCGCTGGAAAGTTGTGATCGCGTAAGTAAATAAAACTGCGGACATAACGACAAAGTGTCAAAATCAGAGAGGCAATTACGAAATTCAAATGTGAAATGGGTGCACTCAAGCAAATAGATTTATTTATATTATGTGTGCCGAGAAGATGCAAAAAAAGTGAAGATGGAACTGCGAAAAGTAATTGAAATTTTTTTTAACTTGACCTTTACCGCTCTTTGGTGAATACTAACCACTCTACTACAGAGAAAATGTGATCAAATATGTGACTTGAATATTTCTAAAATCAGTAAAAAGCGTATTGTGAATTATTATAATATTGATTTTAAAAGGCTGAGAGGTGAACGTCCAACTACCTGAAAGGCACATGTTAGTATAAGCATAAATTTGGTTGCTAATTCTCTTAATATAAATGAAGTATTTACAATTGTTGTAGGCAATAATATCGAGAGGGTCGTTTCTGCATTTCGCTGTCTGCCTACCAACGGGCTGGAGATCTTTCACTTTCACTGCTTTCTGTGGGATTTGCATTGAATACTTACTTACTTATTTACTTTAGAATTCAAGGCTGACATTGTTGCTAGTCTCGATGCTGGTCCCTAATTTTCTACAACTTCTAATTTATAACCCCTAAACCAGTGACGTGGAAGACAAATGTCGAGTGCGCTGACTGTTTGCTTGCTAACAAGAGATATTTGAACTTGTCGTCGTTACCTATCTGAACCATTGGCCTCGCTGCTTAGAGCTAGAGGAAGCAAAACTATCGACGCGTTTGTTGAGGCCAATAATGTCAATATCAACGGCGGAAGACAGCAGCTTTACAGTGTTATAAAAGATTCTACGTTCTCTATTCAGTTCTGCAAATGTATTATTTTCTGCAGCATTAGGTTGAAAAGTCATGCCACACTCCCTGTCCTAAACATCGTTTGGCACCAAATGGCTGTCCGGACCCAGTTTGCACAGCCTTTTCCAAAATTTGACGCCCGGTGAATATCTGCTCAATGGTGGAGATACCAGGTGTAAATCCACATTAACAAAACCTGATCAGTTCGAGATCCGTGCATCCCAATCGTTTCGGAGCAACTAAATGTGAATCGCCACCCACTCACCCGCGATCTCATCTATGAATTCAAGATTTATCTCTGTAATTGAAAACTCATTTGGCAAACAATAAAATGTGCGCATGGCAAATTATCCACTATTGCGCGGCTACTGCGTTATCTCTATTATTTTGTATTTATTTTCTCATTCCATTCCTCTATTGCTATTTTTAAAATCATTTATCGGCTATAAACCGAAACTTCAGCCGAAACAACAATAATATAATAATAATAATAATTGTTAGACAATTATATTTATTTCTATGTTCAGCGCTTTTTCGGATTTGCACTTGAAGCGTCCAAAGCATACAATGAATTTGGTAATAGTGAAAGTCCGTCTTCACATTATTTCATTATTACGCATGTGAGTATGCGAGTTGGCGGACAAGTGATAATGAAATGCGCCCGCATGTTGTTAAACAAATTTATTAGATAATTTACATTTAGAGGTTTGCAATTTTTTAATCGAATTTTCGAGCTCACTTTGCTGAAGAAACTTAATCGAGATATGTTAAATTTTTGGGCCAAATTCCATTCTTAAGGATTAAAATATATCAAAAAAAGAAGACCTGATGATGTTTAATAGGCAATAAGCACACGATGCGCACTGCCTCTGTACGTCAGTTACTGTTATTTTTGTGCTTCTCACGAGCCGCCAAATCTTGTAGAAGAGCTGTGAAGCTTAGTCAAGGTTGCGAAACACCTCTCCGAGGCATTCGATGCCATTGGAGGTTTCCGACAAAGTAGCTCTTGAACTTTTGACTTCATTAATTTAGTGATGGATAAAATAATACAATCTGCAGAGCTAAATAGAGTGTATAGCTGCTGACGTGCGCCGATGATTGGCCCAACAATCGTGCACTTGGTTCAGCTTTCTCTACCTTGGAACCAGTATTAACACCAACAACAATTTCGGTCCTGGAATCCAAAGCAGAATCACTATTGCAGCAAAAAAAGGAACTACGGACGTGTTATCGTTAGCTCGGCGCCTGAACCCGATGGCTGGCTAAGCTTTTAATTTGAAGATGACAGTAGTCCGAAATTGTTATCCCAGTGCAAGCTAAACTATTAGCTAAGAAGCTTTACAACGCTATTGAGTCACCTGGATCAAGGCTCGAATGCTCCATTTTATCACTTTCGGATGTGTCTTCGTCCTGATTTAGATAACGTGAGGAACAATTCCCAGCTTTTGATAAAGAGGATGTGTTGGCTTATTGTACAATACCAGTATTGAAGGCGTGGTGAATACTTTTAAGATGTTATACTTTGAAGCAAAATGGCGTATTTTCAAAGATTCTTCCAAATAAATGAATATTTGTAAATTAATGTTGCAGCAATGACCGCTATTGCTCCAGTATAAATACTCGAATGTAGTTTAGTTTCGTCTTACGACCGATATGCCTTGAAGCGAAAAAATTCCTGAACCTCCTCTTTCTCTTCAGTAAAACCTATATCAAATGTTCTCTTGTCACTACGCACATAAAGCTGGAATTGATGAAGGAATTTGTAATGTCACTTCAGAGATAGATAGATAGATTCCTGAAAAATTTCCAGGGCCCTCAGAGGTAAGACTTCTTGCATCAGTTAATTGAAGGGTAGATGGCCCAACTTGCTTATGTATAACCCTAACTGGATGGAAATCACCCAAAACATTTCAAGCTTAAGCTTGTGTAATGAGGTTAAAAGTACATTGCCTTCATTCCCATTTCGACTATTTTCACAAAATTTAGTATGTGTGGGAGTAAAGAGGAATGTAAACGATCTCGTAAAGCTAAAAAGTACCGATAGAATATAACTCAGAAAAAAATTTGTATAGTGCTTACTAATACATACACTTTTTTTTGCAGATTTATACTAAATATATTGATTGCTGTTATATTGCGACAATAGTTTTTTTTAATTTATAGTGCATTCTGTACTCTGATCTTTTATTATTTTTATTTCATTGAAAAATTTATTTGCGATCTTCGTTCAGAATGTGCTTTGAACATAAAGAATAGCATAGAGCTTTTTAATATTGAAAGCTTCATAATAAAATCATTTGAGCGCCACTGAATTATAGGTTTAGGTCTACGCTGAGTTGTTATGGTATACAGTGGCGCTCAAACTATAAATTGCCTAGTAAGTTTGTTGTGTATGTAAGAAGCTTTTAATTGCAAATTTAGCGAATTAATATTTAAAGAGTGGACGGTGAGTTAAGGCTAATATTTAGAAAAGTAAATCACTTTAGCGATTCCAACAAATTTTGAAAAACTTTTGCTAAGCACTCTTCGCTTACTGTCTGACTCTTTTCCATTGCAATAGCAGCTACGATTTTTGATCGCGCAGAGTAAACTGACATCATTACTTTTGCTGCTGATTTTTTTTGCTTAGATTTTGCGGGTGGGATTGCTCCTGTTGGGCTTCATACCATTGGCCGCTGTTTGGGGTCTGGATCGTACTTATAGAACCAAGATTCCTTGCTAATAACAATTACTAACGTTGCCGCACTGACCATTTTCGAATTTGTTTAGGAAAAATTGAGCAAAATGTACTCGAGCCTCTTTTTTGGACCTCATTTAAAATTCGTTGTACCCAACGAGTAGAGTTCTTCGTCTATCCCAGATGATAAATTAATATTCACGATACAGCCATGGCATTCAAGCCCAAATCTTTTGCAATCATTTCTCATGAATTTTAGACTTCACCAGAGCTACGTTGACGTCATCAGTGGAAGATTTTAGTTGACCTAGGGGCAGGACAGTCGCAATGGAGATGGGAGACCGTTTCTTCCTCCTTCTGGTTCTTTCTATTTCTAATACTTTTTTACTTCTAGTAATGATGCTTAGCACAGTTCCTCGTTGAGGAAGAAGTGGAGTCGTCGCGTACTGGCCGCAACAAAAACTACTTTTTTCTTTTTTATGCCCTAGAAAGTTCGCTCAAATCCTTCCTTCTAATAAGTCGACTGCGCTATGCTTCAACCATGTCAGTTCTAGTCGCCTTTTCTGCCGGACCGAGCATTAGTTACTCTCTCAGCAGAAACCGTTCAAACTCGCGCCAGAAAGACTAACGAAAAGCAACTAAGAAGTAATAACTTTATTTAACATAAATCGTTACGTATAAAATGAACTTACAAAATACAAAAACAACAGTATATACAATAATCTCACGCATTTCTATTTCCTACAACTCAGTGTGTTTTTCCGACCAGTCTTCTTTAATCATATCGGCACCCTTTTCGCCAATCATAATAATCGCGGCATTCGTATTTGCCCCCACAATGTCTGGCATAATACTGCCGTCAATAACGCGCAAGCCTTTTGCACCATGCACCTTCAAGCGCCAATCCACCACAGCTGTGGCATCACCGGCAGGACCCATTTTCGCCGTGCCGACAGGATGATAGACTGTGGTGGTCATGTGGTTAATGTAACAACGCCAATAGTCATCCGATTTGTATGGCAAGTGGTTGCAAGCCGCCAAATCAATTTTGTGCAGAGCCGCTTCACGCTGCTCAAAAGCGCTCGTCTCCGGCAGTTTTGAGTAGATATTCAAAGCGCGTATATAAGTAGCAACATCACGTTCATCAGACATATAGTTGGGATAGATTTTCGGTTTGTCCAAATAGTCAGCGCTGCGCAACTCCAAGTGGCCCACGGAGAAGGGCTTCAAATGCAGCAGATAAGTGATGTAGGTGTTGGTATGCTCATTAGCCGAGAGTATAGACTTAGCGACGCGCTCATTAAAGCCGGTAGCGGCGACATAGCCCTTGAGTTCAGGACTCTGCATTAAGCTGAAAAAGTTTGTTGTCTGTATATCGGGATATGGACCGTTCAAGGAAGTGGTGTTAATGAAACCAGTCAGTGCTGTGGCCTCGTGGTGCAACAGCTTGCTGTAACGACCCATCAGCAGATTGTACATGGCATCGACGAGCTCTTCATCGGTCGGCTTACGTGCGGTGGACTTATCTATTTGGAAAACAACTGGCAAGCTAGCATGATCTTTAAGATTTTGGCCTACGGGCAGATCCAGCAAGACGGGTATGCCTAACTGTTGTAAGTGCGCCTTTGGACCAACACCTGAGAGATAGCAAAAAAATTAATTCAACACAATTTTCTGCTAGTTTTTTGAACACTCACCCGAAAGCATGAGTATTTGTGGCGTACCAATGGCGCCAGCTGACAAAACTACTTCCTTTTTGGCGTGCACTTCATACTCCTTCTTACCATTTAGCACAAAGCTCACGCCCGTGGCACGCATTTGCTCATCAAAGTTGACGCGTTTCACATGGGCATGTCTCACTACATGCAAATTCTTACGATCCTTTGGTAAATGCGAATGTGCTGTTGTAATTCGACGTCCGCCATCCTGAGTGCCCAAAATATCTATCTGGCCCACCCATGAGCCTTCCGTAAAGGCCGGCGAACTGCCATAACCCATTTCGGCCATGCCCTCACGTATTGTCGTACGAAATTCATTATCCGAAACATAACGGTTCAGTCCCATAGGCCCACCTTGACCAAAATCACCTGCCTTGAAGTCCTCACCGGTCGCACGTAAATCTTCGGCCTTACGGAAGTAGGTCAATACATCGTCATAACCCCAGGTAGGATTGCCGCGATTACGCCAATCATCAAAGTCAAACCGTGTGCCGCGCGCGTAAATCATCGCATTCATGCCATTCGTGCCGCCAAGCATCTTGCCACGCGGCCAATGACATTTTCCACCCTCCATAGCCATGCATGATTTGCCATTCGGCTCCGCATGATACTGCCAATCCCAATCTGTGAACTGTGTGGTGATGTGCCAGCCAACGAACTGTAGGTAGTGGGATCAAGTGTTACGAATGGTAAATTTAATTTCAAACTCAAAATTGCCTTACCTCCGTTTCTATCGGCGGATCACCGCCCGCCTCGAGCAGCAACACCTTCCACTTTGGATTTTCACTCAAACGCCCAGCAACAACCGCACCGGCAGAACCTGAACCCACTACAATGAAGTCATAATCATCGAAACCTGAAAAGGAAATGGATATGATATTTAATCAGCAAACTCAAAAGTCCGCTGGTATTTTCGGCAAATTTATGACCTCTCTGACATTGAAGCCGCTTATAAAAGTTATCGCTACGAATTTTGCATTTATAAATTAATTTATTATTTAGTTAAGCAACCGATGTGGGTCCCTATCTCAATCACCCCACTTAGATTTCCGTTAGTATGCCAAGCAAGATTACTTTTATGCTCTTATCAGCACACCCACTTAAGTCAGCACTTGCACGTCAAGTAAACAAAATATTTACCCCATACGTGAGCATCTGGCTACACACCTAGCAAATGTTGAAAAACACAGCTTCTGCTTGTCACCAGAATTGTTAATAATTTCACGTTGACATTCTACACTTTGTACTGTACACACCTTTTATCACTCGGAGGGGCTTTTACGTGAATAACTTATGGATTTTATTAGCATTCACATATCGCTGGTGAAGCTGAGATCTACATTTATTATAGGCAGAAAGTGACATTAGAAGATTAGATAAGTTGGTAGATAGCGATAGCCCCCACTTCGTTTCTTCCAATGACAAAGGCTATCTTCTCTCATTCATTATTCACGTCATCCTAGTGCCCTAGGGAAGAGGACTTCAGTCCGAGGCATTCTCCACTTACATAAGTGAACACCTGATACCCTTCTGCCCTCGTGGTTGCAGTCCTTAGTACACCTCAGTTTTCAGTGCCTTACATTTATCCTTTAAATGGTATCTACGAGTTTATATACTCGAAGTCATTGCTATTTCTACACACACACACCATTTCTTATTATTGTTTACAATTATTGTATTTATATTTTTTGTTGTTGTTGTTACGTGAGTAAATGTTTATGAACGAGAAAATATAAGTGCATGTAAATCATACGAACTTTGTAAGTTTATTTTAATGAACGTAAATAAAGTATAATATACAACAACTAAGCCGACTACATATGAATATACATATAAGATAGGAATATAGAAAAACAAGTGCACATACACGTACGTACATATGTAACTATTTGTTTTAAAAGCGTCGAAATGTCAACCTTCGAATACTGCCTGGCATCGAGGCATCGACCAGCACCCAAAAAAGCATAGGAAATAAATTCAAATAAAAAATTAAGTAATTTTTCTAATTGCAGTCGCCCCTCGGCAGAGAATGTCGACCCTTCCGAGTATGACAAAGGCTATCCATTAAAGTGATCTAAAATGTCAAAATCTACATCTGTTTACAGCAGTTACTTACTTGCTTTGCTGGCGTAGACACCGCTTACGCGAGTTTAGCCGAACTTTTAACATCGCGCCATCATTACTTTTTCGCTCTACTTGACGCCGATTGGAGATATCAAGTAGAGCTAGGTCATTCTCTACCTAGTCTTTTCAACGGAGTGGAGGTCTTCCTCTTTCTCTGCTTCCGCCGACGGTTACTGCATCGAAAACTTTCGGAACAGAGGAGTATTCTTCTCCATCCGGATTGCATACCCTAGACAGGAATGCCGTTGTTTCTTGATTCGCTGAACTATGTCCCTCATCGGCTACGGTATTCGCCGTTACCAACTATTGGACCATAAATTTCACCCAAAACTTTTCTCTCGAAAACTCCTAACGCCGACTCATTTAATGTGGTCATCGTCCATGTTTCCGCACCATATAGCAGGACGGTAACGATGAGGGACTTGTAGAGTTTGGTTTTCGTTCATCGAGAGTGGACTTTACTTCTCAATCGCCTACTCAGTCCTAAGTAGCACTTGTCTGCAAGAGTGATACTGCACTGGATTCTTAAGCTGACGTTGTTGTTGGTATCAATACTGGTTCCAAGATAGACGGAGTTACCTACGACTTCAACGCTATGACTTTCAACGGTAACGTGGGAGCCGAGTCGCGAATGCGATAAATGTTTGTGTGATGACAGGAGATATTTCGTCTTGCCCCCGTTCACTACCAGACCCACATTATTCGCTAGCAGATGTACACTCTTATAGAAGATTGTACTTTTTCACCCTGTCTGAAACCTCGTTTGGTGAGGTCCCTCCCGATGCTGACGGAGCTTTTAGAGTTACCTACCGCCAATTTACATAGCCGTATAAGTTTTACGGGAATACCAAAATCAGATATAGCTGCGTAAAAGCAGCTGCTATTCGTGCTGTCGAATACGGATTTGAAATCGACGAAGAGGAGGTGGGTGTTGATCCTCTTTTCACGGGTCTTTTCCGGCCTTTTTTTTTTTTGTATGCAAATGTGTCTTGCTTCACTCTTCAGCTGTCGATATCTATCCCACCCCGCACGTGTTGTGGTCGATTGCAAATTTGCAAGGTGGGCAGTCTCTTTTCTCTCCACTGCAGTTCGACATTCCTCATCGTACCAACTCTTTTTCTGATACTGCCGAAAACCACTTGTTTCCGTAGCGGCGGTACGTAATTTGAGATGCCGTTCCACGGTTCCCTTATAGTTGCTTATGTGTGCTCTCAGAAAGCAAGTGTTAAAAAATCGTTCGGCAGTCTGTTGTGTTTGTAGCTTTTCGACGTCGAACCTTCCTTGCGTTTGTTGACGGGCGTTCTTTCATACACAGAGGCGTCTGTAAGACCGACGACCGCTTGCAGCCGCGCCTCTGGTTAACAGACTCTGCAATTAGACTTCAGCGGACGCTCAAATCGAATTAGTCGAAATGGCTCCCCTCTTATTAGCCGTGACCCAGGGCTCCACACGGGTTGGTACTAAGTCTTATAAGGTAATCTCGAGGCCGCAGCATCATAAAGTTAAAGTGTCTACCCAAAGTGGAAACGAAACGGGTTGTGGAGAAAGGTAGTTATTGAGTGTCTCCTGCTAAATAACAGCTCCGCGCTTTCCGTTTTCTTTTGAGAAAAGCCGCTGTCAACTCTATAGGTATAAAACTCAAATTGAAGTAATCCTAAGCTCACTATTAATCATATCACCGCTGCTCTTTGAATCTTACATAAAACGTCTTAGTTTTTGTTTCAGGATTGCGAGACCCAATACTACTACACCACCTAGAAAGGAGAGAGGTAAAGGATTTTCAAGTCTTTCGTGTTTTGTATCTTTGTCAAACATCTTCAGTTTGGTCTATAATTTAACCTTGAATCGTCTTACAAACGAAAAACGCTTTTAAATTATTGATTTTTTTTTTACCAAAATGCATGATCCGTTAAGAAGGTTCATCGCGCGGAAGATGTGCACGCTTCGGAGCTAATTTTGGATGTGTAAATAAGCAGAATTGTCGATTTTAGAGAGAAGATCAGCCAGAAGCTATGCAAGAGCTACCAATGCATCCAAAGAAAGACAAAGCTGGGTGCGTTTTATGGACTGGTGGCGTCATTGGACCATACTTCTTCAAAGATAATGCGAATAGTACGATAACTGTGAATGGTGAGCGCTACCGTGAGATGATATCAAACCTGTTTTTTGCCCAAAATGCAAGAACGTGACCAGCATAAAATGTGGTTTCAACAAGAGGCTGCCACATGCCACACAGCACTCGTAACAAAAGATTTATTGAGAAGCAGGTTCGGTGAACATTTTATTTCACGTTCGGGACCGGTCAATTGGCCGCCTAGATCGTGGGGTTAAACGCCTTTAGACTTTTTTTGTGGGGTTATGTAAAGTCTAATGTCTATATAGACAACCTCGCTTCGATAGACGCATTGGCGGACAACATTGAAGCATTTATTCGTGAGATACCGGCCGAAATGTTAGAAAGAGTATGCCAAAATTGGAGTAAGCGGAGGGACCATTTGAGGAGCGGTCACGGTCAACATTTGAATGAAATAAACTTCAAACAATTATATGGACCCTACTACCGATTCAAATGAAGATTTCATGCATTTTTCTGAATATTATGGATTTTTTTTTAAACTCTCCTGTGGCTCTTAAAAATTACACTTTAATTATATGCTTTTTCCTGCTCAGTTGTCTAAGCGTTCTGTTCACCAACGTTTTATTTTTTTTTTAATACTATCTATGTGGTAGACCCAGTCCATGTTTTATTAGCGTAAGGCTTGCTGTGCTCTTTCTTTCCTCTGCAAACTTCGCAACAACTTTTGAAAGCCACAAATGTGTGTTTTGATCTTGATAAAAACAAGCTTAGCACACTTAATAGTTGTTGGTCAATAATGAATTTAACAATACAACTTCAGATAACTTGGCTAATGTTGGCTCAATGGTCAGAGCAAAAGCCTGTTAAGTTAGGATCCATTTGTTCGATCCATGCCAGGAGAAATCTGAAAGAAATGGATGAAGGATCTACGAAGCAGCCGTCGCTCCCCCTATTCCTCTTTATTGGATAACAAAGAATTCAATACATACAAACATTCCACGCTCTCTTTTCCCATAGATTAAGTTGAAGGCACAAAGTAGTACCAACCTTTCAAAAAATCGATTTTTGCCGATTTCCATTTTCTTAAGATACAAAAAATATATTTTAAAATAATCTGACAAATTGAATTGAATCGGAAAAATACTTATAAAAAATACTACGAGTTATTCGGAAATTACTTTTTTATTCGAAACTGTATTTCTGCTAACCTTTGTAAATGAAATTTGCCTGATCGAGGCATTCGTTTTTGTTTCGATTATTTATAAACAATTTGTTATTGGTTTTATATTAAGTAAAATTTTCTGATGCCGGCATTTTTCAAATAAAAAAGCTACGATCAGCCACCAACTCATCTATAAAAATTAATTTTTTTTTTTGTCGCGCAATTTTCCATTAATCTCCAAGGATTTTTAATTAGTTTATCACAGACATCCGTAGATAAAATTAAAAAATATAATTTATTTTTTTTTTCATGCAAGGGAAATTTATAAGGGCAAAATACTGTTTTTCAATTTTATTTTTTTATTTTTGTTAATTTTTACCGTCATAATTACTCACCATCTCTTTCAATTTGCGCACCATAATCCGCCGGCCAACGATCATGATCACTTAATCCACAATATTTGCTAATTAAAGTTTGTAGCAACAAAGTCATTAATGTATTGGCAGGTCCTGCTGACCGAGCAGCACATTCTGTGCTGAGAAATTCCATTATTATTGCACCGTTAGACTAGAAAAATGTACAGCCCACGGCCTCTGTTGTTTTGCGACTAAATTTTCAAATAATTTGCACTTAAGTCGTAGTGTTGTGCATTGGGCGAACAATTAAGATGCCGAGTAAGTGTTTGTTTAATTTTTTCGTTTTGTTCTAAACACATATACACATACATATATACACATCAGATTGTATGTAGTTATGGTATTTGCATGAGAACTTAAGTGAAATTTGCATTCCCATAAATAAATAGTCCACACCCCTCCGCGAGTCTACATACACGTATGTATGCTCCATGTGTATTGGCTTTTGTTTTGTTTCTCTGTCCTCACTTTTCTAGCTCTCTAATTCTCATCGCGTTCCAATCAAATGTGCTTGTCAAGCCCTCAGCGCTGCCGCCACACCGGTAGCGAGGAGAATCAATTATTTTTGATAACACAAAATAATTTATTTGAACATATGTAAGTACATATGTATGTGCTTCAATCGCTACATACATACATACATACATACATACATATATATATATATATATATATATATATTTGGCGCTTTGTGACCGATAAAGCGATTTTCGGTCGAGCTCCTCCTCTAATTTGTGGTTTTACGTCTGGATGTTTTTTCTAACGAATGGAGGGACCTACAAACTAAGCGGCTGATGGTTTTCTCATGAGGACCTTTATTTCATGTCAGAAATACACCCGGAGCGGTTGACATTCCCCGCCGAGGGACGACCGCAATTAGAAAATTTAACTTTATTTTTTTTTTTAATTAATTTTCTTTTATTTTGTGCAACACCAGGATTTGAACCCGAGCCTTACGATTGGCAGTACGCAATGCTAACCACTCAGCTACCGCGACCGTACATGATGTTTCTTTGTACGTCATAATCACAACGCAGGTGCACATTTAGTGCAGTAATATTATACAATTGTACATACACGTACATATGTACACACATATACATATATTCACTTGATAAGGCAAGCGTCGGCAAGAGGCGGTCATAAACAAGTTTTGTTTTCATTTCTTGTTTACATGCATGTTTGTATGTTTGTCTGTAGATATGTAGGTACCAAAACGAAGAGAGAGATAGAAGAGATTTCGCCGGTTTTATGTGATAACAATCGAAAACATATGCACGTATTATTATATATAATATTTGACTTCTCGTTATCATTTGTACTCCTGCCAAGCGCGTCGAATTTGTTATTTTCCTTTTGATATACAGTTAGTCGTTATTTTGTTCGAAAATTGATAAATTAAAGTATGAAAGAGTTCTTATAAATATTTTCAGAGTTAAAAGTGGTTGTTGTTATTGTAGATACTTGGTCAACCCCGCCTTTGAGGAATCAAAAGGAGTCTGTGTCGTCGAGATCATCGAGCTGGAGACTCAGTAATCAAACGAACTGTTTCCAAGGGTTTGGCGAGGATTGTTAATGACTAGGTTTTTGTGGGCATTCAAAGAGGTGGTGACCAAACAGGCCAAACGTCAAATATGTCGGTACCCTACTTGTATCAGAACTACTCTGTTCTCGCGAATATTTTTGTAAAAAACTGATGTTCTCATGCCGCGAATTGGATGTTTCAAGGGGATCACCTTTCAGGATTAGGAACGCAGCTACCCACTGTGTCATCTTAAAAATTACAAATCACGGTCCCAAGCATATTTAATTATTTATACTAACCAGCTTCGATATTTAAATAAAAATCCTTTTTCTCATCAAATATGTCTTACTTTAATAGACTGAGTCATATGGAAAGAAAATGAGATTTCACATTCGTCGTCCTTCTTCACTGAAAGGGGATGTAGCGGACGGCCGATCCTAAGTTTCAGAGTAAGCTGATTGCAGTATCAGTGCCAGTGTACACCTACATCCTGCCAGTCTTGTCTTATGAAATCCACCGCCTTCTCAGCAATCATAATCGTAGCCGCGTTGGTGTTGGCACTGGGTATTATGGGCATAATGCTCGCATCAGCCACACGCACATTGTCAATACCACCAAGACGCAGACGAGGGTTTACACAGCTCGTCTTATCCGACTCGGGTGCCATTTTCACCGTACCCGACTGATGGTAAGTTGTACAAGAGAAATATTTGATATAGCAAAGCCAATAGTCATCACTCTGCAGTACATAAGCGGTGCACTCCGGTATGGACGGAAGTATAAAACTCACATTCAGCGCTCTATAAGCTGCAGTGCCCAAAAGACGTTCCTGAAAGCGTATAGCACGCAGAAGCGTTGCCAGGTCTTCTGGCACGCTAAAATAGTTATGTGTCAGCTTTGGTGGTTGCTTGTAGTCGGTGCTGTGCAATCGTAAATTGCCCGAAGACTTGGGTGTTGCGAGCACGTTAAACATGCCCATAACGTCAGCAACTGCTATGACTTGGCGTATTTGTGCTTGGATACGATAAGTGCTGTCATCAATGTTGAGGCCGTTGAGAAATGTTTTCAGACCAGCAAAATCGCCGCGACGCAACATGAAATGATGAAACTCCACATCTGGATACGGGCTATTGCTGAGTGTGTTGATAAAGCCCGTTAGTGAAGCAGTGCCGTGTGAGTTCAACGGACCGCGTCGATGTATCAGATAGTTGTATGTGTTGTCTAGAGCATCTTCGGCACGCAAAGGACGGGCAAAGTGCTCGTTTATTTTGAAGAAGGTCACAACTTGCACATGGTCATTGAGGTTATCGCCAACTGGCAAATCTCGTACCAGTGGTATGTTCAACTGGCGCAAATGTTGCGCCGGGCCCACGCCTGACAACATCAACAGTTTTGGTGACTCAATTACGCCCGCTGACAGCACCAACTCTTTGCCGACACTTACGCGCATTTGCCTTTCATCTCGTATTGTAAAGCTCACTGAACGCACACGCGAACCGGTGTCATCGAAATTCAGCTTAGTCACGCGCGCATTTTTAATCACTTGTAAATTCGGTCGTCGCGCAACACTTGCTAAATAACCTTTACCAGTGCTCATGCGGCGACCATTTTGTATCGTGCCTGGCAAATTGGAAAACCCCGACTCGCTGCCATCGGTGAAACGGTGTACACGCGGTATGCCCAACTCAGCGGTGCCCGCATAAATCATTTGCTCTATATCCGGATCGTTGACAGGAAATGCGTTGAGTGTGACATAACCCTGTGCGTGTGTCGCACTACCGATTGGACGTACTGAACGCTCGAAATATGGCAGCACATCATCCCAACCCCAACCCTGGTTGCCCGCCTGCGCCCAACTATCGTAATCAGCACGATGACCACGCACATACAGCATTCCATTGAGACCACCAGAGCCGCCAATCATTTTACCACGTGGCCAATAGCAACGACGATCGACTAAGCCCCAACAGGCCTTTTCACTATGCTCCGTCAAGTAATTCCATGTGACGTTTGTGTGCTCCAAAGAGAAAAGCAGGCTGGGTATCTGTGTAGAGTGTTAGATAATACAGTTAACAGTTTAAAGTCAGTCTGTACATCACCTCTGACTCCTGTGGCGGATCGCCACCCGCCTCCAAAACCAAAACCCGCCACGCAGGATTCTCACTTAATCGACTGGCCAACACCGAACCCGCCGAGCCTGCGCCCACCACCACAAAGTCATAGCCCTGCTCGCCTCGTCTACTTAACAGTGCATCAGCATAGTCTGGTGGCCACAGCTCGGGCGGCGAGATGGCACATTGTGCGGCGAGCAGCGCCTGTATCAATGCTGAGACCATGCTGTTGAAGGGACCAACACTTTGAGCTGCACATTGTCCGCCGGTGTGTATAGGCTGTGACATCGCTAATATTATGCCGGCATCTGAGTTATGAAAATAAATATTTGTTAAGTATTTATTTTTGTTAGCTTACAGACTTGTTTGATTAAATACTAAATCCCTTATTCGCACACGAAATCAGACAATGCAGGCAGACGTCACGCAGTTCACTGGGTTCAAGCGGCCGCTTGAGGTGTGCGACCCGTTATTATATTGTTTTTCTTTTTGTTTGCCTGCTTAGAACTCAAATATTTCTGTCGACGGTCCGAATTCAAACTGCGTCTGGTCGGTCGGAAACTGGCGAACGACAACGCAAACATCGCGCTTTATATGTAGGAGAAAAGAACACAAGACAAGCTTATTTTTATAAACAAAACAAAAAAAATTACGTCATTGTTGTAAGGCAAATTTGTGTCAATGCCTGTTTACTTATTGTACATATGAATTTGTAATTAATTTTCTTTTAATTATTTTATGGCAGCGCAAGAAGAAATGGAAGAAAAAATTCATAAAAAGGGCAACACTTTTTTGATAAGGCTACAAGCTACAACAGTGAAAACTCATTAAAAATTCTTATTTTGTAACTTTTATTATATGACACTGCATTGTACATAATTTTTTATGTGTTAATGGATCTTCATCTGGTCATTACAAAAAAGATGAGAAATTTGTAATTTGCATTTGAGCAAATAAATCAGAAACAAATGCTGTTTCAGTATCAGTATATTTGGCAACTCTATCCAAAATTGGTCCACTCAAGCAAATCAATTTTATTTAATTATATACGTATTTTCGGGTGTCCCAGGTATTAAAAGCAGATCTTTTATTTTCGTATTAATTTCGCTTATCCTCTTGTTTTCCTTTTGATCTTGATAGCTTAATTAGGCAGCTTTGGTTTCAGAGATTCAGTTTCAGACATGTTTTGTACTAATCACATTTATTTCTGAAAACAAATGGGACCTTATCTTGATCGCTACTATAAACTGAGAAAAGGAAGACCCCATCGCTTTTTTGCTCTTCATTCAATGCTTTATAAAAAGTGTTACAATGTTCGGATTTAGTTAAAATATGCGCCGTTTTGTTTGATGATCTGTTTCCATCTAGAGGGCATCTTCATAATACCTTCCTCGTAGAAGCCCCCCTCCTTATTTGCGAAGTATTCGGACAGCCACTTTTCACAAGCCTCTTTTGAGTTCAACTTCACACCACCAAGGACATTCGCCATGGACAGGAACAGGTGGTAATCACTTGGCGCTACGTCCAGGCTATATGGTGGATGCGATAAAACCTCCCATCCGAGCTCCCGTAGCTTCTGACGAGTCATCACCGAAGTGTGTGGTCTGGCGTTGTCCTGGTGGAACACTACACCCTTCCTGTTGGCCAATTCTGGACGCTTCTGGTCGATCGCCTCCTTCAAGCGGTCCAGTTGTTCGCAGTAGACGGTAGAATTAAGCGTCTGGCCATATGGGAGCAGCTCATAGTGGATGATTCCCTTCCAATCCCACCAAACACACAGCAAAACCTTCCTGGCCGTCAATCCCGGCTTGGCCACTGTTTGGGACGATTCACCGGCCTTCGACCACGACCGTTTTCGGTTGATATTGTCGTATGTGATCCATTTTTCGTCGCCAGTCACCATCCGCTTCAAGAATGGGTCGAGTTAAAATACGGGAATTTCGGCGTTAGTGAACTCCATGTTTACACGTCTATAACTGTTGAACGCAATATCCAAACTAATCATGCATAGCGTTGCTTTGTAGGTTATGTCAAGACCTTTCAAATTATGTATAGTTTTGCCAGATACGAGCTCTGTAGCGCTTTGTACATAGCCGCGAAATTCAAAAGACAAAAAAGCGGAAGGGAGATATTTGACAACCTTATATCAAGTACCAATGGTATGATGGGGAAACTTCAAATCATCAAGATGATTGGGATAAGCGAGGTTAATAAAAGAAATCGGTCGAAATTGTTTCACACTTATTTGTCATTCGTTCTCGACCAGTCGTGTACTGCTCCGATGCGTCAATTCCCTCATCTACAGAAAATCTTCGGACGCTAGAAGTAAAAGGCTCATCTTCATGTGATGAATGCCGGTCAGCTGATTTAACCTTAATATTTCTTCTGAGCCCCCCAGGAAGTTATCAGTACATTATTCCGAGATTTCGATGTCTCCAAAAAGCATCGGTGATTCTAGTTTCTGGATTAAAGCAAAAATCTTTAAAATATTTTAACATCAGAAACAATTACTTTTGTAACTGAGGGACAGAACAAACGTATAGCCAAATTAAATACGTTTGCTTACTGTTTCCGCTAAAGGACGTCTAAAATGTATATTTATGAATACCGACAATAAGCTGAGTTCGATTACAGCTGCAGATTCAACTTCAGTCTTGCTGTTACGGAAATAATCCAGTACAACGAGCACAAGTGGCTCATTTGAGGCGAGTAAAAAATGGTAAACAAGGTCGCTTTACAAAATATCTCTGTTTTATTTGCTTGTAAAACAAGTCAAGGTTTAATTTTCTATTCTCTTGATGTCATATATCATCATAAAATAAAGGAAAAAATGGATCTTTCATCTATCCAGTTCTATGAATGCCGACGGAACTTTTTTGAAACCAATAAATTACTCTCGCCATCCACGAGCTTGGTACTGGCGTCAACAAGAAAAATATTTGAGAGCCCTTTGGTCATTTTAATTCGAGCTTTTTGTTCATTTTTGAAACATTCAAGCCTGGTTCTGCATTTTCGATGTCGATTATTCGAAGTATGTTCTCGAAGTGATCAAGTTCACGCTGGTGGAAAGTTTGGAAATATTAAAGGCTTAACTCCAAAATGGAGAATCTTCAACCGCAATTTAAAGAACATTACGCATGAATTTTGGCATAATAAATCGCCTTCCAGCCAGCCAGTTTATGAATCAATTTGTGAGGCGACTTGGCTAAACTGGTTCGATATCTGAAACACAATTCGCGTACTTGCTCGTCCAGCAGTTCAGAGGAAAAAATTGCAGCTGCAGTTCAAGGTGTGCTCGAACAGCCTACTTGCAGGTATTCATGCTTTTGTTTGAGCAAGATAAAAACCTAGATATGAGGGCTTATAACGTTCAATTAGTTTAAATGGGCTAAAAATCGCTTGGTAGAAGATGAACAGCCAATGCATCCTACACAAGTAGATTCGTTCTAGTTTTTAGTAAAAAAAAGTCACATAAAACTTCAACTATTGCAGCGAAGGAAATATTTCCATACAGTTCCTGATCCTAGTTTTAGTAAAATATCGGTAATCCGGACTTCTTAGCAGCAATCCCAAGAGTTTTCGGACGTAAAAGACGCAAAACAGTATTCTGTTAGCATAAAGCTATAAAGACTCTCACGACACCAACTGTACAGTTCGTGTTCAGTAATTTTCATCCATTTGAAAAACGAGGAGCCCTACTCTCTCTGAAATTTATTGCGAAAAACTCCATATATATATCACTTTTCAAATAAAATATAAAAATAAATAAAAAAAAATAATATAAAAACCACCAACTTAACTGTATCGGCAAATATTATTCTTGAGCAATACATATTTTTTTTTTCGCTTTAGAAAAACAATTAGAGGAGCAAGAAGAAAATTGTTTGTGAATTTTTTCTATTTTACAAATGTACATAAAGGGTGATTTTTTAGGAGCTTTAGGAAAGTTTAAAAAAAATTCAGAAAAATGCATGAAATCTTTATTTGAATTGGTAGTACGGTTCATATAATTTAATGTTTGAAGATTATTTCATGCCAATGTTGACCGTGACTGCGCCTCAATTAGTGTAGTCCATCGGCTTAGTCCAATTTTGGCATACTCTTTCAGACATTTCGGCCGGTATTTCACAAATAAATGCTACAATGATGTCCTCCAATGCGTCAAATGAAGTGGGCTTGTCTGTATAGATGTCAGATTTAACATAGACCCACAAAAAAAAGCTCACCATTCACAGTTACGTTACGATTCGCATCATTTTTGAAAAAGTACGATCCAATGATGCCACCAGCTCGTAAAATTCTCGCAATGCTTCTTTACGCACCCATTGAACCAAAAATGAGCTTCCATGCGCGCGATGAACTTAACAGAGCACGCATTTTGATAATAAAATTCAATAATTTGCTCTGCTGTTTAAACCAGTGTTGCCAAGAAGATAATAGCTAAAAAAATCACCCTTTAGAATAATGTAAACAAAGTTTCCAGAGGTTTGACCATTTAAAGTTGAATTTTTTGTTTTTGAAAATTGCTTAATTGGTGTAAATACAAAAATGTCTATAGAAAAAACATTTTTCAACTAAATGACCCAATTTTTTGCGCGTGACATATAAATATTAACGTAATTAATACTTTGTTAATATATGAAGAAATTTACTTTTTATATGAATTATCATTTTTAATTGGATTATACCTTTTTATACTCATCGCAGGTCAATGGAAGACTACAAATTCATAGTTTTTCTAAAACAAATATTCTTAAACTTATCTGCAGAATCCTGCATCCTCCATCGCGAATAAATTTCTCCTACACATTCCTTAAAGTCAAGTTCAAAAATTTAGCAATACCGCTTTATACGGCCTTGACTTTGAACTCGTGTAAAAATATCGTAGGATTTGAATATCTGCTTAATACAGAGAGGAATTCATAAAGACATTTCTTGCCAAGAGTTAACCACGTAAAAGCTTCTTCTACAAAATTTGGGTTAATGATACTTTACTTTATTTTGAATTTTTTAATTTGGAATATTTTATTTTATTTCATTTTTTTTTAACTATTTCATTTTGCTTTTCTTTTTATTTAATTCTATTTAATTTTATTTCTCTTTATTTGCTTACTATTATTATTTTCTATACTTAATTTACTTAATGTTATTTTATTTTAGCTATTTTTTCTTATATTTTAATTTACTTGCTTGGTTTTATTTTATTTTGTTTAATTTAATTATATTTTATATTTATATTTCAGCTTTTCTATAATTTAAAATAGTCCTCTTTGATTTAATTTTTTTTTGTTTGCTTGGTCTTTATTTAATATTTAATTTTTATTTTTTGTTTAATTTCCCTTCGTTTATATCTTGTTTTATTTCAACATAATTTATTTATCGCTTTTTGTTTGTTTTATTTTGTTTCATTTGTGTTATTTTATATTATTCTATTTTTTTTTTACTTTACTGTATTTTTCAACATCTGAACTAAACATGTTTAACCAAAATCATTATTAAACTCAAAAATAAAACTAAAATAAAATTTAATGAACTATCCCTACTAGAATAATGATATTTTGGACCAAAAAAGATAACGGGAGAATTTTTGGTCGGTACCTCAGTAGTGTTTAAACGTATTTGAAAAATATTCACCACCAAAAAGAAAAGAAGCTACAAATTTTCTTCGATAAAGGGGAAAACACAAGTTAGGCAGCTGAAAATGGGAATAGTACAATATTTATGTTCCTGATACTTTAACAGTCAATTATGTACACTTTTAGTTTTGTCGATTTCGGTCTGGTAAGGAAGGCCAATTGGCCAGTGAGCCGGCACAAATGGTCTTCAATCTAGGATTGTTCGCCAGGAAAGTTTTGTTGTGTGCTAGAGGCGATTGGCAAGACTCCTTTTCGGCTAACTCTTAATTCAGACCTATATTGTTGAAAGGAAGCAATTAAGAGTGCCCACCTGTGGCCGCAGGAAGGGAGTTGTGTTACATTAGAACAACGCCAGACCACACACATCGATTGTGACTCATCAGAAACTCCGAGGGTGATTACCATCGGTTCGTATCTATAGCGAATGATTTGGGTAATGAAGAATTGGCCTCAAGAGAAATCTGTGAAAATCGATTGCCACATTTTTGGCCACCAGAGACAAGGGTTTTTACGAGAGAGGCATATACTTAAACGTTTCTCCAAAAACAAATGGAGGGACCAACAGTTTCTTCTAAGCCGCCTCAGCACTGTCAATAAATTTTTATGGAAAGCTTATTATTTCAAGTCAGATATGCATATACTTGGAGGGTTTGACATTCCATGCCGTGATCTGTATATCCATATAAAAAGCATTTCAAATTTGATTTAGGAGAGTGTCCAGTAGGCTTAGCCTCCCACTGCTAAAGTTAAATATTCAATTAAAAAATGTAGGTCCAAGTTGATTTTAATTTCTTTTTTCACTCAGTAAGTTTTGTACTTAATAAAGCCACGGCTGATCTATTAAAGAATTAAAGAGTTTTGTAATTTTAAGTTTGTCTGTTTCTGAGAACTTAAACAGTCTAAAGCTACTAATGGCCCAAATTTTTATTATTATTTTTTTTTTGATATGAGCTGAAATGTGCCCCATGATATTTCTTAACGTACATTAAAGACTATAGTCGAATGTATGTCATCAGGTCTATCAGTGATTCCTCGCCACAACCAATCCACTCTCACTCTGGCACAGTAGGACGCTTCATTCTAAGTTTGACTCCTGCTCTTGAATATTTCATTTTTATATATAATATTACTTTAACAGACCTTTATATTCCCACCAGCAGAACACATCAGCCGGTGACAAGCTGTGTTGAGTACAGCATTAAGTTACTTTACGATCTTATCAGGGTGCGTGCCGAATACTTTATGTCTCGAGGATGGACCAATGTATACCGGTTCCTCATATCGTCCAGGTCATTTATGATTGTGGTAGTATAATAAAAGCTCACTCCTGACGATCTCCGAGACGGTTCTGTCTCAATTATACCTATGACATTCATTTTCTAAAATTAATGCAGATTTTTTAGAAGAAATGTTGAAAATCTGGAAATAGTTCTACGACTACCACGCTCCTTAGAAGCCGGAAAGCAGTAGAAAAGGGAATTGTGAAGTTGCTCAAGGACCGAACTCTAAGAAGTGCTCCTTGAAATTCAGAATAGTATCCACAATATACAGAAATGATTCATGGTTATTGAGAATATCCTAATTTATTAAAAAGAATTAACTTCATCCAAAATTGTAAATGTTTTAGCAGTATTGCAGGCGAATAAGACTGTATACCGTTTGACAACTATGTGTCTTATTATCTGCACTTTCTCCTTCTTAACTTCCAAAATACCATGCGCCTCCTTCTCCTCCCCCTTCGACTTCCTCTGATGAGAAGTCGTCGTCCTCATCATGCTGCCAATCTTCTTTTATGAAATCTGCTGCCTTTTCGGCAATCATAATTGTCGCCGCATTCGTATTGGCACTCGGTATCAACGGCATAATACTCGCATCGGCCACGCGCACATTTCCACAACCGTCCAAAAGCAAACGTGGATCCACACAGCCCGTCTCATCTGTTTCAGGTGTCATTTTCACCGTGCCCGTGAGATGATAAGTGGTGGTGGAGAAATATTTGATGTAACAACGCCAGTATTCATCGCTCTGGAACTTATGAGCATCACACTCGTCAATTGAGGGACGCAATAGCGTTGCTGTCATCTCCTTATAAGCAGTGGTGTTGAGTAGTTGCGCCTGGTAACGCATGGCGCGTATTAGGGTGGCAATATCTTCGGGTTCAGAGAAATAATTTGGTGTAAGTAAAGGCGGTGCTCTGTAGTCGGCGCTACGCAGACGTATAGTACCCTTGGACTTTGGATATGAGAGCACGTTCATCATGCCCAAAATATCAGCAGTTTCTAGTACTTTATTTAGTTGGCTTTTAAAATGCTCAGTAAATGTCAAGCCATTTAGAAAACTTTGCAGACCTCCGAAGTCGCCCCTACGAAAGATGAAATGATGAAATGAGACATCTGGGTATGGACCATTCTTCAGCGTATTTACGTAACCGGCCAATGAACCGGTTCCTTGAGAGGCGAGCGGTCCACGCTGATGTATGAGATAGTTGTAGGTGGCGTCAAACGACTGCTGCGTAGTCCACGGCTTCGCTCTGAGCTCATTTAGTTTAATGAATGTAATTATATTAACATGATCTTGCAAATTCTCGCCGACCGGCAGATCATGTATAACTGGTATGTGCAAGTTAGTCAAATGCTGTGCTGGTCCCACACCGGATAACATCAGCAGTTTTGGTGATTCTATTGTGCCAGCTGATAATACCAACTCCTTACCCACATGCACTTTCATTTCGTATTTATCCTGCAGCACAAAACTCACCGAACGCACGTTCTTGCCACTCTCATCGAAATTCATTTTGGTCACATGGGCATTTTTCAACACATCCAAATTGGGTCGTTTAGAGACACTAGATAGATAAGTCTTTCCGGTGCTCATACGGCGACCATTCGCTATTGTGCCCGGTAAATTGGTATAACCCATTGCGCTGCCATCGCCGATGCTGAGCACACGCGGTATGTCCAACTCAGCGGCACCTGCATAGATCATTTGTTCCACATCCAGATCGTTGACTGGGAATGTATTGATGGTAACATAACCCCGTGGATGTGTCTGATTACCCACTGGACGTACTGAACGTTCAAAATACGGCAATACATCATCCCAACCCCAACCTCTATTGCCGTCGTGCGCCCATCTGTCGTAATCCTTGCGGTTGCCACGCACATAAATCATGACATTTATGCCACCGGTGCCACCTATCATTTTGCCACGCGGCCAATAACAACGACGCTCGTTATAAGCCCAGCACGACTTGTCGCTATACTCCGTAAAGTAATTCCATGTGGCATTTGTATGTTGCGCAGAATACATCATTGCGGGTACCTAAAGCGAAGTAGAAAACCATAAATCATTTTCTTTGAATAAAATCAGTATAACCCCACACAACCTCTGACTCCTGTGGCGGATCGCCACCTGCTTCCAGAACTAACACCTTCCAATTTGGGTTCTCGCTCAGTCGACTTGCTACAACGGAACCCGCCGAGCCAGCACCTATCACTACAAAATCATATTCTTCCAAACCGTGTTTCAGCGCCGACTCCGCGTAGTCCGGTGGCCAGAGCTCGGGCGGTGAGATAGCGCATTGTGCTGTAAGCAGCGTCTGCAGTAGCATATTCACCATGCTGCTGAAGTCCCCAACGCTTTGTGCAGCGCATTGCGCGTTAGGTACTGTAGTTGACATGTTGCTGAAATTATTTATTTTCTAATTAATTAAACCTGCAACTACGATTAAATATTTACATACTTCAGCTTTTCAACTTGCCACACCTCAGTGTAATACTGACTGGCCGCAGCACGAAGGCTCATCTTTTTATAATAAACTGTCTGGGTTGATAAGAACGTCAGGATTCTCACGGTTATTACGCGATTACAATAAATACATCTGAATTCAATGAATTTTATTATTGATAATTTTGACCTTGACTGTAGTACAATGGGCCGGATTAAAAGAAGTGTTCAATTTATGCGAACTATTTAATTGCACATAAAAGCGGGGCAAGTTGACTTTTGAAAAAAAGTATTTTTATTGGGATTAAAAGAACATAATTTATTCTAATTTAATTTTAATATTAATGTGTTTCTTATACAACAACTTATATTATATTAATGTAATTAATTAAATTTTTTTATTTTAATTTATTTTGCTCCTAATAATTATTTTTAATTGAATTTAGTTTAAAAAAGATTAACTTATTTAATCAATTGTATATTTTTTTGAATTTACCTTAATTTAAATGATTTTATTTATTCAATTTAATATAATTTGGTCAATTCCGTTTAATTCAGTTAAAATTTTTTATTTATTATTTATTATTTAAGTTTAATTTGTTTTCATTTGTTCAATTATTATATAAGTTAATACAGTTTATTTTAACTTTACTTGTATTAATTAATTAATTTAAATATGTTTACTAATTTAATTAGTTTAGTTTATTTAATTAATTTTAATTCATCTTCAGGTAATTTTTTTTTAATTTAATTTTATTGTTTTCATTTCAAATTACAAAAGTTTAATTTAATTTAAATTCTTCATTATAATTTTTGTATAATTTAGCCTAACTTTTTAACTTTTTGTTTTATTTAATTATACTTTATTTAATTAATTTAAATATAATTTAAATTATTTTATATTATATAAATTAGTTTTATTTCATTTAGTTGGAATCATTCAATTTCATTTATTTAATTACTTTCGTTAAGTTTGGTTTATTTTAATTGTACAAAACTAATTTCGATAAATTTAATTAATTTTCATAGAATTGTATGTATTTAAATTTAAAATAGTTTGACTTAAATAATTTTTAATATAACTTGTTGTAAAAGAAACACATTAATATTAAAATCAAATTAGAATAAATTAATCGAATCGAAAAATGTATTTAAAATTAGGTTAAATTATATAAATTAAATTAAGTACATATGTAAAATTAGTAAACTTAATTAAATTAAATTAAAATTAAAGAAATGAGTTAATTAAATTGAATAATTTATTTACACTTCATCAAACTGGATTAAATTAAATTAAAACAGAATATATAAAATTTTACTAATTAACTACAAATAAGTAAAATTTAAATATATTCAATTAAAATAAAAAGAGATAGATTAAATTTAACTATTGAAGTAATTTTTATTCATTTAAATTAATTAATTAAAAAAATCATTAAATTGATTTAAGATAACGCATATTATTATTATATATATATTTATTAAAATAAAAACAAATAAACTAATTTCATGATTAAGAAAAAACGAATTAGTTGTCATAAAAAGTCGATTGAAACACTTTATGTTAAATTAAATTTAATATAAATTTACTAAAATCAGTTAAAATAACCAAACTAAAGGATGTTCAGTTAGTTTATTACAATATAAGTTGTATTTAACTAAATTAATTCAAAATTGAACAAATGTAAATCGAATTGAATTAGGGTGTGTTTAATATAAATATATGGAAGAATGAAAAAGTGCACTTATACCATTTTAATTGAATGAAATAGTAAAAAGATGCGCAAATTTAGAAATATATTTTTGCATAGTTAATTCCGAACTGCTGCAGCGCACAGCTTAAGAGTCAACGTTCTTCGGCCTGTGTAACCAGTCAGCTGTGGCAATCACTTGTTTTCCTAAATGATCGTGTTTAATCAACTCTAAGTTTACATATACCGTTAAACCTGTCCAATAAATGATCATTATCCGATCGTTGGAGCGTTAAGTTGAGCTTAGTATTAATTTCCGGATTATTTTTTAATCAAATACAAGGTCAAAATTTTTTATAAATATAGATGTACATATATGTATGTATATACGCCTATTCCTTAGTTCACATATTTTAAACATCATTCATCCTTAAATCTACGGGAGGTTGCAGATACTCTTTACCATTTCTTAATAAAGGGTATTTTTTTTGGAGGTGTGGTTTTCAAAAAGAAACAAACCGCATATAATTTAATGTGACCAAGAATATAGCTTCTTTATAAGGCTAGGGATTTGCCATTATGTTTTAAATATGATTTCGGCCAATTGATCGAATAAATTCCAGCCGAGCGGCGCAAATTTCGACCAATTTTTGCAGCAATTGGTCCCTATTTCAGCAATAATGCTCAGATTCTCTTCCAAGGCTTCAATAGTGTTCGAAACTGGACGTCCGTAAACGGCATTTAAAATATTTTTTTTTTTCATTAAAATCCTGTTTGATTATAACGTTTAAGCATTGGCATTATATATAACACCATTCAAATGACCACCTCGGGCAATTTTTGCCAAATTTGACTTTCAAGTGCTCAATAAGTAAAATGTTATCCATATAAACACGGACTCTAGCGTAGCTTCACAATGGTGTCAAACCGCACGGTCTCAGTGACCAACCGACATCGGCAACAGAAGAAATTATGCCGCCTGTTGATTTCTCTCGCAATAGTGACATATTGTCCAAGTCGTGTTCTTCAATTGCAGACCAAAAAACATTGTTTATCTTACGACCATAACGCTTCGAATTCATAATTAATTACCGTCTCGCCGTTGCCGTTTTCAAAGAAAGTCCAACCACACCTCCGCACCAAAGAATGCACCAGACAGTAAGTTTTTTCATGCGGAAGTTAGATGGCCTCTCTTGAACAATTTTGCTGCTTACCGTATCTTCCGTATCTGCGTGGCGGGTCAGCTGTCTTTAGATTTTGAGTGATCTGGAATTTATATAGATGTAGGTCCAAGTCCAAAACACGCCATAATGTGCCGTAAGAAAATCGGGACTACTGAGAACGACGAAAGAGCCTTTTACTTACATTAGCAATATTTTAGGTGGAATGAATAAAACGAAAGCCTTACAATACCCGAGGCCGATTCAATCTCTTCAAATTTCTTTAAAAAGTTTATAATTGCTTGAGCAGTTGGACAATTAGGTGTACCCTAATCCCTTCTTTCTTTTTTTTTAAATTTGTATTTTTTCACTGAATCTGCTTGAATATCGAAAGCCACACAATAAGTAATCAAATCTTAAAAACCAAATTTAAATATAAAAGCCCATTAAGTAGGAATAGGTTGCTGGCTCAATGTTACTCTCTACAAGGGTAGTAAATGTCTTCTCTACAGGCGCGTTTGACTTGTTGCCAATACCAAGGAGATAGACAAAGGGTGCGGATGATAGTGCAGTTTTGCTATGTATTTTTTGTGCAACGATTTCAATTTCTTCTTTGATTGTGGGTATATTTACATATCTGTGGTTGTTTTCTTTACGTGAACTAAATATATAATATTCGTCCAAGACCACTACCTTGCGGAACACCTGCATGATTGGATACTCCTCTGTTATATATTCATTTACTTTTACAGTGAATCACCTGTTGGATAAATAGGATTTATGGCTATTGTGGATCGGGTTAGGTAATGATTTTTTAATTTTATGGATGAGACCATCATGCCACATTCTATCAAATGCTTACGCCACATCGAGGAAAACGGCCCAACTGAATTCGAAAGCTTTCCTTATTTCAGGGGTTTACGATTTACTTGTTCAAAAAAGTTTTAAATAGGCAAAGCCACTGGCTGATTGGTCTATATGATGACGAGGGTTGTGTCTTTACCTGGTTTACCTATCTTAATTATCTGCGACTTTTTCCACATTTGTGGATAATATCCTAGCTTTAATTGGCACTGAAAAGCTTTGGCAATACTTGGCAATGCTTTTAGCTTTTTTGGTGGGATATGATTGTCTCTTGGAAAGTTTTCGGGACTTAAAGCGGTAATAATGTTTTTTAGTTCAGACACAGATGATTCGCAAGTAACAGTGTTTCTTGGGGCAGCATGGTTCGGTAATTTATAACAGTATTTGGTTGAAAAACCGCACTGAGGTGCTCTGCAAAATAGGTCGTCTTTTCTTCATCAGTTCCGGCCCATGAACCATTGCGCAGTCTCAACGGTACTTCAGTCCTTACTGCTGGCTTAAGGTTTTTGCTAGCTTTCCATAGAGATTTTTTAGTATAAGCGTTGGAAGACAAAGGCTTTAAAAAATTTTAATATTCCTTTCTTCTTCGTATCATCTTTTTTTACAGCGGTGGTGTTGCTAAGGGTGCTGCTGTTGCTAGTTAAACACAAGTAACTCGTTTTCAATTTCAGGCGCCCTCTCTATTTCCGGATGGGTCTGTATATGACTGCTTATATATTTTTTTATATTTAAATCAATTAGTTCTGAACGTAGCAAGTCGAACAACATGCTCGTTTTCAGCTGGTTGTTCGGTCAATTGAATGACTTTATAGGAATGATCAGAAAATAAGTCAGCACAGACTTCAGCAAATACCAAGGTCCTATCTGCGTTTTTAATGACAGCAAGGTCAATCAAGTCAAGTAATTTCTTTGCGTCTGTAGGCCAGTAAGTTGGTTGGCTTGGTGAAATAAAATCGTATCTATTTTCGGTGCATTTGATCCTTTTATATAACCTTTTGAATTAATTAGTTTCGAACCCCAATATGGATCACTTCCAGCTAAAATCTATCTCGCAGGGACAAAAAAAAATCGCTAAATATTTTGAGGTTGCTAAGCGATCCATTTTCATAAATACCTAACTTTTAATTTAAATGGACAGACGTCAATATACAGTTTTGTGCCTTTGAAACCACTAATTAGTTTTGATACAATTTTGAGCGCAACAAAACAGACCGTTACCGTGATAACCAAAAGCTGTCCATAACTCAAAAATATGTGGCCTCATGAAAGCTTTTAAGGAGTCTCTTGATTCTCTAAATCATCCAAATTAAACTTATTTTCCTCAATACTTCATTCGGCTTTCGCTTTTTTAAGTTGGCAATTGGAAAATTTTTTTTAGATTTCATCCACGGAAAAGGCCGGAATAACTGCAGCAGTGAAGGACCTTTTTTCGCGCCGTTGGAGATCGACTATAACTTAAAAAATATTTAATTTTTTTCTTCCAAAATTTCGTTGTATATTCTTGAAACATGTATAAATATATTCTTAAAATTTTGAAATAATTGATAAAGATTTTTTTTAATAAAATTTCCCAAAAATCACCTTATTTAGGCCATTACACTAGGTGTGCCCCTTAATGGAAATAGGTTTACCCTGAGTATGTTTATTAATAAAAAGAATTTTTTAAAGAACCGCACTTACCTCGAGTGAAATTCTCGACTGAAAACAAACAACTTTAGGGGTATTCTCTTAGTATGGGAAGTCCGTACCATACAAAACTTTTCTAGAGAACTAAAGAGCCTGTGTTGCATGATTGTGGCAAACTCAAATCAAACCACAACCACAAGCTATCATAGAGCTGTTTTTTCCGTCTTGTGGGCAAAAAAAAATATACATAAACATAGTAAATATAGGTTAGTTTTTCTATCGTAAAATATATTTTTGGCAGCTGTTTTGTTGTTGTGTAATTACGGGGATCATAGCATAATTTTTTAAGACTGTCGGTAATGCTACTTATGAAAAACTAACTCGTTAAACCCATCTGAAAATCTGTAAATGAAATTCTTCATGGAATCCTAATAACAATGATTTGGATATCATCTTTTTAATAAGATTTAATTAATTCATAAGGTGTCAACATACACAATTGAGTATTCGATAAAAGAGTTTTTTCATAAATAAAAATTAATTCTTTGTCGGAAATGAAACATTTTGCAGAAATTTAAATGCTTTCTTAATACAAATTTCGATAAAAATCAAATTGATAAATTTTTCTTAATTTTGCAATAAAGACTTGTAGTTTACTATTAATTCGATCAGAGCAAAAACCTAATATTTGGGGCTGTAGAACAAAAAATTTACCTTCTCTCGGAATGACAAAAAAAGTGAAGGCAACTTTTTTAAATCGCCACAGTTTTCAATGGAATGGTCATAGCTTTTCTGAGGCAGTAATAATTATGAGCTATCATCCGCGTTGATAAACGTCAATTAAAATCAAAGTATAAAGTGGTTTTGTTTATATTAAGAAAATCCAAGGTTGTCATGGTAGCCACATAATTATAAATTATATATTATAAATCAGCGCAGCACAATAATTGAATAATGAATTACACACTTTCAAGACAATTATTCGCATACAATGGCATTCACCTGCAGCAAAAAACAAAAACGAAGCAGTCGCAGTTAATTAACCACATTCTCGTGCGAAGAAAAAAAAATAATTCACAAAGCAATTTCAGTTAAATCACAAATAATAAACACACTTTAATAACATATATAGATTTTATAAAAAAAAATATTTGCATTGAATTATATGCTTATAATCGCTAAATTATGCTCATCGAACAAATAAAAAGCTAAAAACAATAAAATAATCGTTAACGAGTAATTAACCGTATTCTCCACAGAAGAAAAAAAACAAACAAACAAGAAACATAAAAAATAATAATAACTTGTCATTTAAAATAGCAGAGTTCACCAAATAATAATATTTATGTTACATTATTAAATGTAATATTCGTTAGAGCATTGATTTTGCAAAATTTTTTGTTTTCATTTAAAAATTAATTTTTCTATTTATCTCTCTATCGCGCCGCACGCCCACTGCATTCGCTCAACGTCTGCGCAGGCCGCTATTTAAATTCATACGTATGCGTTGTTGTGGTCCAGGCGCCTGCGCATTCCCGGCTGCTGCCACCAAATTGTTGTGTTGCAACAAGTTTAGACCTGAGCGTTGTGCGAATATAAGAAATATATTGACAATGTAATGTGTATTTCTGCCATTGGTATACCAATTTAAATATCTGCACTCACCTTCCACCACCACATCAGGCGCCTGCAACTCCGTCTGCACTCCACCGACCAGAGTATCAGCATTCTGTGCAAAATTACCAAAATTCAAATTAAATTCTTCCAACGCTTGTGCATCGCCCGTCGAGTCGACGCCGGACAAGTCATTTGGTAATTCAGCAACGCGTATGATGAACTGGTCACGTTGACCCTGCGCCCTCACGGCCACTACGAACAGCGCCATAGCGAGCGTCAAGTAGCAAACCGCGTGTATTGACGGCGACCTACTGGTTAATGGCAACATTCTCGCTACAAATTCGACGGACTACTGAACGTGCAAAGATTTTATTCTTTATATGATATCAAGTATTGGCAATGTTTTATCGCTTTTTTATTACCTTTTTTGCTGTATGAGTAATGCCAATCATTACCGGCTACGTTCGAGCTCTCCTTTCAACAAATTATCGCACACAATTGTACACGTATGTTACACCGTTACTTACTTGCTAGTGTGCAAATACTTGATACTAACCTTATATATAAGGCTTTATTTGTTAAAAACTTGACGCTGCAACAACAGGTGAACAGGCATTAGTTGAATGTGGCGCATGCAGTTTAGCGCTTATGCGGCGATTTAGTAATTTTGCTCTCAATTGTAAACCAAAATTCCAAGACGAAATTATTTTTCCGCTCTCGGAGATGCTTACAGTAACGGCTTGCAGGAAAACATACTTACAAATGCCTGTTTAGGCTACAAGTTTCGTAGAAACACTTTTATATGAGGACGTCCTGAGCTTTAAATTCTCAACCGTGAACCCATAGAATTGGCGCAAACCCAAAAGTCTAATGTTTGTCTTCCGCTTACTGGAATTTTCTCTTTAAAACACTCGTTCAACTCCAATCCCAAGAAGAAGCTTTATGTCATGTCATAAATACACTCGGATGGCTTGACATTCCTTGCCGAGGGGCGACTGCTAATAGAAAGCCTGCGCAGACGCCAAGGGAACAGAAACGGGAAGACGCAAACAGATCATGTAATCAGATATCTGTTCTAGACTATAAGATGGTCATTCTGTTTCAAACAGTAAACACATTAGCCAGCCGTATAACTTCGCGGCTCATTTGAGAACTGCAATCTATGCATATGCGAATGGAAAGAAGCCAGCGCAAAATCTAGGATTTGAGTTCCTCTTGTAAACTGAAGCTTATAAAAAATAATATTTTTCGGCAGAGTTGCCATCCGTTTCACGCTTTTAACTAATTAATAATTAAATATTACAATGTGGGTCTCAGCCTGTGGAGAGTTAAAGGGTTGGAGTGCTACCAGATAGTAATAGTTATAATATGGCATGATATGGCATTTCTTTTGTGTTAAATCAGATCCAAGAGAGGTATCTTATTGAGTAAAAATCCTTGAAAATCCATTTAAATTAAAAAAATATCCAAACATTTTTGCTTTTAATAACATGACATTTTTCGCTAAGTTTTGGGAAAAAACAACACATTCTTGTTTATGATAAATCGAATGAAAAGTTTTTAACATTTTTGAGCGCAGAGAACTACTAAATTTTTTTCAAATAGACGCCTCTTTGTCTAACATCAAAATTTGTTCATTTTTAATTCCCGATAATACAAAACGCCGATATCATGGTCACCGTTAAGCGGCGTTTTTGGATGGTCGCACGGGACACCATCTATAGCATGGAGGCACCGCAGTATTTTCACTTTTATAACGACGTCCCTTTTGAGCGTCACCACTTGCTTTAACATCCTAACAAACACAAAAAAAAAAATATGTTTTATGGCCTGCCAATTTGAATAAAACTGATCTGCGAAATATTGCAATACGAGCTCCGAGCTTCAGCCACGAAATATTTTGTAAAAATGTAAACACCAAATTTTGGTTAACATTTGTATCAACACAAAAAATAAATAACAGTAGGGAAGCTACGCTCCGTCTAATCGACCAACTCAAATGAAGCAAGAATTGGGCAAAGCAAAATTTCAGGACGTGGTTCTAGGCAAGATCCTGACGTGGAAAGTCATAATAGAAAATAGATATGAAAAGGCATCCATCTCCATTGATGGGCAAATAATTATAAGCGGAGCTCAAGTCCAGATCTATCTCTGTATTTACATATCCATGGTAAGACTAGTACTTTTTTATCGAGTTGTCGTCTCCACCTCAACCTCATAAAAGTAATATAAGTACGTTGATGTATAAATGGAGTTCTCAAAATCACGTCAACTGAATACTTATATGTTATTCTCAACATCTTACATCTGGACTTGGTGAGTTGCCGGTTAACAATACGAGCTACCCTAAGGAAGGTAATTCAGTGGGCTTGTTTAGCGAAATCTATGATATGCAAAACACCAAAAACGTATGTGTATGCATGAGATATAGCAGGAGTTCAAATTTCAATGAGAGAGTACCAATTCTGTAGTGTTGTCTTCCAACCAAACATTGCGGCATTTTTTGGTGGCTTCAGTACAACAAAGTCAAGAATTGTGCTGGGTTGTCGCCGATCTCTTTGGGAAATGGCCGAACACAAGAGACTGTCTCGCAGGCAAGAAAAAACATAAAGAAATTGGCTTGTGCCATTTGTCGCAGGTTTTGAGTGATTCAATATAAAGGGTGATTTTTTAAGGGCTATAGGAAAGCTTTTAAAAAAAAAAACACATAAAATTCAGCAAAATGCATGAAATCTTTACTTAAATCAATAGTAAGGTCCATATAATTTAATGTTTGAAGATTATTTCGTGCAAACGTTGACCGTGACTGCTTAGTCCAATTTTGGCATACTCTTTCCAACATTCCTGCCGGTACCTCACGAACAAATGCCTCAATGTTGTCCTCCAATGCGTCAATTGAAGCGGACTTCTTCTGGCTGGTCTTCACTCCGAAATCGACAATTCAGCTTATTTACGCACCCATTAAGCCAAAAACGAGCTTCGTTGCTACTTCAATATCACAAAATAGTTGATTAAAAAATAAAGCATAAGTTTAAAAATGCTGTGTCTCGTATCGCATATACTTTTCACCGCAATAATTTATTGGAAAGAGCAAATTCAACAAATTTTCTCTGCTCAATTAAATGTGGGCCACTTTTGAGAAAATGTAAATTAAGCAAATAAATAATTGAAAAAAATGTGGCCCCAAATTCGTTTTCAAAACCAATGTTTTTATGTATGTATGCGAAAGAGCAGAAATATATGTTTATCCATATGAGTAACTGGAATGTTCGCAAAATGTTGCTTTCGAGCAATTTAAAAAATATTCTGCTTAGACTAAGGTTTTCACCCTTTTCGAAAATATTTAAAAAATTGACATCGAAAAGTCGTTCAATAAGTTGATCTAAAAAAATAAATTATTTTAAACATGAATTAGTTCACTTTTTTTAACAATTTGATTTATTATATATTCTAGCAAATAAATAAGCTGAAAGGTCTTAATGGATTACTTACATTTAACGGTAATATAATATATTACACATTTCATACCACAATTTATTGTCCCCCGCCACGTCGCAACCAGTCCTCTTTAATCATATCCGCTCCCTTCTCAGCTATCATTACTGTCGGCGTATTCGTATTACCAGTTGTTATTGTCGGCATCACGCTGGCGTCGATGACACGCACGCCGCGTACGCCATAAACGCGCAAACGCGGATCCACCACCGCCATGGGATCGTTGTGTACGCCCATTTTACATGTGCCCACTGGATGGTAAATCGTCTGTGAGTAATAGCGGCTTACGCACTCCCAAAAAGCATCGCTCAGATACTCTACCTCTGGGCAATTGCGCCACTCGAATATATTCAGAGTTGCATTCAGATGCCGCATGATGGCCGTTTGTGTTAGACGATGTGCAAACTTGACCCCCTCAATCTGTACATACATATATGTAAATTAAACACTGACTTTCTTTTTGAAAACTCCATTAACTACTTACAATAACCGCCATATCCAGTGGATCGTCGAAGTAGTTTGCGTATATGCGCGGATGAACGCGTGGATCACTGGATAGCAGCTCGAGACGGCCGCGGCTTTTGGGACGCATCAGTAACACTGTTAACGTGAAGGCGTCGCTGTAGATCAAATGCTCGAAGATTTGTTCGTAGTTGGCGAATGATATGGCGCCACCACGTCTACCAATTAAACCACCATCAGCGCCATAACCATAACTGCCCATAAAGATTTGCACGTCGGGCCAGTCCAGTTTGGGGTCCTGGTATTTGGTGTTTACAAACCCCATGACCTCGCTCATTGGCATCGCGTAGAAGAAACCGTCTGCCTTTTGGAGAAAGGAATCCACTGAACGTACATTCAGCATCTCTGGCACAATGAATGAAAGCCGATGTCCCGTTACGTTGTTATCAATGCGATATTGTGCACCTGTGGTAGATATGTGATCCTGCAGGTTGCTGCCCACACCAGGCAAGTCTTGTATAATGTGTATTTTATGTTGCGACAGTTGACGAGCAGGTCCGATACCTGAAACCATCAGCAATTGTGGGCTTGCTATAGCGCCGGCAGAGAGTATGACCTCCCGATTCGCGCTAACTTTAAAGTAGAAGCCTGCATGCTCGAAATGCACACCACGCGCCACTTTACTTTCCCGTTCAATGTCGATATGTGTGACGGTAGCACGCAGCACAACGTCGAGGTTACGGCGTTTCCATACTGGTCGTAAGTAAGCTTTGTTCTCACTACACCGCAAACCGTCGCGCAGTGTGCCATGCGGCACAGCAAAGCCCATTTGACTGGGTCCATTGAAGTCGTTGTATGGATTGAGCTGAATGAAGAAAGCAATTGCATTAGAAAGGCTTCGTTTATATTTACAGTTAACACACCAAGTTTAGCTCATGCGCGGCCTCCATAAAGACATCCTGCAACGGCGACGGAAACCTATAATTTTCAATTGTAACCGGACCACCGTATCCATGATGAAGGCGATCATTCTCAAAGCCCGGCACGCGCATATCTTCCAACTTGCGGAAATAATGTAGTATGCTATCATAATTCCAACCAACATTGCCCAACTCCGCCCAGTGATCGTAATCGCGTCTATTACCGCGCACATGCATCATGGCGTTTATTGTGCTACAACCGCCCAGGACCTTGGCACGCGGCCAATAGCAGCGCTGCTCTTGCATGGCGAGACAGTAGCGATCGGAGGGTTCGGTGCGATAACCCCAATCGAAAGGACTGCGCTGAAATACCGGATATAACATAGGTAACTCTGACAGCATAGGCTCATCACCGCCCGCCTCCAGCAACAACACACTCCAATTATGCACTTCGGAGAGGCGGGACGCTAGCACACAACCAGCCGACCCGCCACCGACAATCACAAAATCATACGAGTCACGTAGGTTCAACACATTTGTTGCAATCACACGATTATCTTCGTCCACTATGTCAGGTCGGTAGATATTTATGCCTTCGATAAGCATTATTATGATTGTGGCACTTGGTAGCGCGGTGAGGACGAAACGCCAAAGTGCTATCAGGCCATCGGGGCTAAACATTTCTTGTGAGTGTGGAAATGTAAATTTTATTTTTAGTTCCGCGTTTCGGTTACTGTCGGTATCGTTGGTTAAATTGTACTGTTCTTGCCGGCTTAATCGGCTGCGACGACTTACGGCAGCTGAACTTTGGTTTGTGAGCTTTCTGCTGATTCAAACAAACAGAATGCTGCTTTCGCAAAATTTTCCGCAAAGTGTCTGAGGAAAAAAAGGTGAAATTTTGGAAAGAAAACAAAAAGTGGTAGAGAATTTATTAAATTAATATGTATGAAGACATGTAACTCACAAAAATATTAATGAATTGCCTAAACAGCCATTTTTTGCTGAGAAACTGTACAAAAGTACATGTGTAATTATAATCAGAGGATTGCTGAATGGCCGCAATAAAACCTGTTATCAACTCTCCTTAGGAATGCTAAAAAAGACATCAACCTTAGGATTGCCGGCGAACCACGCGCTCAGAACATAAATAATTGGGACATTTCAGTGGAACTTAAGGTTAACACTGATGAAAAGTATATCAGATTCTATACAATTTAAATGGCATCTTGGATGTTTAAAAATATATTGCGTTTTACGTGGGATCTTTCACCGGTCCTCTCGCACTCGATCTCTGCAATGCTCTAATAACACGTTCTTTAAACCAATACTCGTCTATGGTACCTTTGTATAATCGAAGTGGAAAGGCTTTTTAATCTTTCAGACTAAACAGCAACATCAGCAGCGGTTGATGCACAAAGCCAACCCTGCATGAAAAATCTAAAGGCTTCAAGCTACCTCGAGGACATGCGCGAATAATCAGAACATACGAGCACAGTAGTACAATTTTATCCCCAAACTTACGAATAAACTGCGTAATCCTTCACCTGATATTAGGAAGGCTTTTGGTTGGAGCAAAGAACTGAGGTTTGCTACAGACAAAGCTCTGATGCTGAAATGGTGGAGTGAGTCTGCAGATTGTTGTGCCCAAGCAGAGATAAGAAGGCTTTATAAACGGTCAAATCATTGCATTATCTTCCAAGCCGAAATATTTGCAAAAAAATTGAAAATAACAAGTCTTAATAGAAGAAGACAACACATTTTTGTAGATAGTTTTTAGGGCCTTATTTTCAAACATTTTCGTCAGGCGAACAAAGTTTGGAACGAGCAAAAAGCTGCATAGTCGCGAAAATTTTGAAAAGTATGATGCGAAACTCACTAAATAGCATATTTTAAGACTTTCCAGTTCCCTACCTCTCTTCATGTAACCTATTACTGCTTTGATCTGAAGAAAACTACATAGCTTTACTGTCACCTGTTTCCCCTATTTCATGACTCTGGCGCTACATTTAAACTAACGTTTCTCCACTCTTGGTCGAGCTGAGCAATGGGCAGTCCCTCGTAGTGAAAAACAAGTGCAGAGAACAACAGCGTCTAGATACATAAACAAAGAGTATAGCAGAATAGTTTTGATCGTATGTAAAGCCTCTAATAACACCATAGACGTAGTATCGTCTATGCGAGACTACCGAGCGTAAACCCCTTCCACCTAACCTAACCCAGTCAGTCGACAAAAGTACTTTCTATATGATGGACTTCAAAAAGAGCCTTGTAGTGAGAATTATCGATAACAATGCAGACTATGAAATCGAGAGCCCGAGTTGAAGTGAGAAAATATTCTGACTAACTTAATGCGGGTAAAGTTTTTTTTATAAATTTCTATCGCCAATTATTGTATTACATACATTTTCCATTATTTTTTGCCATATTTTCTTACTTGCGGTCTTAATTAAATTACTAGAGTTGAAAAATTAAAAATTAGGAATTGTATATATAATGAAACTAATTTAATTTCCCTTTTCTTTTTTTCAGGTAAGTCTCAAGCTCGTATCAGTTCAACTCGAGCAATTCAGCGGCTGCTATTAGTCATTCATTACGATGCTTTGAAATGCATTAAGCTCGGATTGCGAAGTGAATAGCCGAACTAAGACGCCATTATAATGCACGTGGCGTGTACTAACTATCTAACGAGGGAATATTATAAGTAAAAAGTTTGTTTAAATATGTATAATTGTTACAAAATGTGTAGAAATATAAAAAATTCTGAGATCTCAATGCTTCAAGTTGAGGCATAAAAGCAATCTCCCTAACTGCTTAATAAAAACAGCATGTACAAATTGACTTCCATCTTGGGATCGTCTCCAGAAACCGACACCCAATATAAGATAATTGATTAGATCCGTCGATGTGCAGCTATTTATTGTAGCGACGATGTTATTTGTGTCTGGATGTTTTTCCAACAAATGGAGGGACCTACAGCTTATACCAAGGCGCCTCCGAACGGCTGATGGATATATATATATATATGAGAAGCTTAATTTCATGTCAAAAACACTCTCTGCCGAGGGGAGACCGCAATTAGATAATTTAGCTTTAGTTTTTTATTTAAATTAATTTTCTATAACTGTTGGATTTTGGTCGCACCAGGCCTCTCGAATCTTGGCGGCGTCTACCTTCTCACACTTCAGAATCATCGTCTTCCTTCTATACTATTCAATCAACAGCTTCTTGTACTATTTTATTACCTCTTTGAATATTTTTTAAATATTTTTTAATTATTTTTTCAATTCTATACCACTTCGAGAAGCTGGAACACTCTTATATCATATCAGTTAGTTAGCCACATATTCGAAAATTATATACAAATACTCCACAAAAATAAATTCGATAAACTGTTTAACTTTGAGGCCCTAAAAGTGACATTTTAGTGACAGAACCAACTTACGTTTCTGTTTACATATACTACCAGCGCCGCCTGTATGCATGCCTATATCGCTTTGGTGTAGCTTATTTCTTGAGATGGGTTTTTTCGTTTTTCATCCTTTCGTAGACGAGCTTCACATACTTTCCCTCCCACTGATTCTTTCTATTTCTCATGATAGTGACGCTAATACATGAACAAAGCTGGTGCTCTCAAGATCAAGATGGATCATTAGCCCAAATTAATGTTGCATACACCAAGATCAACTAACTGAATTGCAAATATTTTCCTACTTTGTTGTCTCGGTATTTTCATATTTGGCATATGTTTTGCAACAGCTGTCTTGACTTAACTCGCTTTCTCGTTATTTTTCCTATTAAGACTACTCACCTCTACAACAATTTGTTCATAATTAACCATACAACTGTCGCATCTTGCTGATCATTTAAAAATATGAAAGTAGATATTTTCATGTTTTATTCTGAGGTTTGGATTTTAACGGTTCCTATAAATTATCTAACATATTTAAAAAAAAAAAAAAAATGCTTCTGTAATTCTATTTTTTAAACTATCTTAAACAATTTTTAATACTCTGAGCTTCTAAGCACTTCAAACCGCCCGCATCGATTACGCTAGAGAATCCTTCCAATCATCCTCTATCATAACAGCCGCCTTTTCAGCTATCAACGTAGTTGGTCCATTGGTATTACCGCTGGTTATTTCCGGCATTATACTCGCATCCACAACACGTAAACCTTTCACACCACGCACGCGCAGACGCTGATCAACGACTGCCTGAGTGTCATGCTTTGCGCCCATGCGGCACGTACCCACCGGATGCCAGGCACCTATATACATATACTTAATGTAGCACAACCAATAACCGTCCGTGTCGTAAGCTATATTATCACATTGCTTAATAGGCACATGCAGGAGTTTCAAGCCATATTGCCTGAAGGCTGCAGTGGTGCTCATGCGTTGCACGAAGCGCACATAACGAAGTAGCGTCAGCTGGTCAGCGCGCTCTCCGGCATAGTTATTGTATATTACGGGCGGCGCTTGAGGATCAACAGAGCGTAGGCGCACTTTACCGCGGGAACGCGGACGTAGTAACGAACCGTAGATTTGCAGGAGGGTACGATTTTGCGCAGCGCGTGAAATGCCAGTGACTATTTCGCCGCTCAGTTGGAGAAATTTAAAGCTATCGGTCTCGCTCGCAGGCACTATCGAGTGGGAGACCAAATGTAAATCGGGAAATTGTGCGGCACTGTTGAAGTTGCTGTTAATGAAACCCATTATACTGGTGCTGGCAGCGAGCGGACCTGTTTGATGCAGGAAATAATCTGCAACACTTTGTGGTGCATTCATACTTGGTGCACGCTCAAAGCCCAAATTGAATTCACGTTCGAAAGTGAGCATTAAAGGCATCATACCATGATCATGTAGATTATTACCAACGGGAAGATCCGCCACTGGTTGTATGCCAAGCTCATTTAAATGCGCTCGCGGTCCTATTCCGGACTGAAGCAGTAATTTTGGTGAATTTATTGCACCAGCTGCGACCAGCACGTCACTCATTGCGTAAGCTTTTAAACGATGGCGCTCACGCACAGTGAATTCAACGCCCACCACCTTTTTTCGGTTTTCCGGAGAAAAGAGTATTTTTGTAGCCACTGCATTTTTAATCGTATGCAAATTTGGTCTGATCCGTGCTACTTGCCCTAAGTAGGTTTTCGCAATGCTCATACGTCTTCCTTTTACTATATTCGCTGGTATAGCGTCCGTGTAGCCAATACCTGTACCCGCTGACAAATCAGATAGGTAGGGTAAGCCCAGCTCGTAACTAGCATTCAGCACAAGCTGTGCTAATTCGTTATGCTCTTCAAGGTGCTGAAAGTAATTTAACACCAATTTCCCCACTGATTCTTCATCTGCCTCGTCTTGTGTTGCTGCCTCTTCGTACAAGCGCAGCATTTCTTCCCACGACCAATCATCGCAACCCATTTGTTGCCAACGTTCGTAGTCTTCTCTGTTGCCCAACAAGAAAATGCTGCCACTCATTGAGCCAGAGCCGCCAAGCATCTTACCACGTGGCCAATAGCAACGTCCATCTCGCATGCCTTGGCAACAGTTTGGGTTGGGCTCAGCGAAGTCTGTCCAAGTGTATGGACTATGATGTAGCGTAGGGCTTAGCGTGAACATCTGAAAAAGGGAAGGGAATTAGTAAAACATTTGCTAAATATTCTTTAAGAGAATTCTAGGTTTTCGAATCGAAGATCTTGGGTAAAAATGGGTGCAGTAGCCTTGGTCGGAAGGGCCGCTTGTTTCGATTCCAAATATGCAGCTGAAACTCTCAGTCTGGCTAAAGCTTCTATTATAATCCATAAGCTCATTGAATTAAATTGTTTTCTAACATTACTTTTTCTTGCTACCGCTGTCATAGGATATAACCCTGTACCTTTTCTCTTTTTCTTATTGGCGTAAGTTATTATTTGAGCTACTCGGTGCCAATTGGATACACCAAGGGAAGCCAAATCCTTTTGCGCTTGATGCTTGCAATGGAGTAGAGGTTTGCCACGAAGTGCTGCATACAATACTTTTAGAGCTGGACAGGAGACACTATTACTCTCGAAAATCTTACCTCAAAGGCTCATAGAGCCGACTCATCGGATGTAATCATCGTTTACACTTCTCACCATAAAATAAAACGAACGCGAATGGTGAGCAAAATGTAAAGATTGGTCTTTTGTTATCAAGAGAAGACTTTTGCAATTGCTTACTTAGTCCAAAGATAAGATAGACAAATCGTCTACAAGTTCAAATACATGATTTTCAACAGTAACGTTGAAGACTCGAGTGCGCTGTCTATTTGTGTGATGATATGAGATTCTCGTTTTGTTCTCGTACTGCCAACTTACAGCATGGCTGTTAAGACCAAAGAGAACAATATCATCGGAACCGCGGGCCGGAGGAGGGTTCCTTCTATAAACTCCATATACCCTTAGTCAGCTGATCTCCTTTCTCGTCCATGTAGGAAAAAGCTCTAATCGATTAATTTTTACTTTTAGTGCAGGAACGAAGGTCTTTTGCTACAATGTTGGGCTCTACCCTGCAAACTTCCCTACTAAAAGCGTCACTCACTCTTTACCGGCGCAAAAATTTCCACTTACCTCCGATTCTATTGGTGGATCTGCACCAGCTTCCAAGAGTAATACTTTTATACGCGCATTTTCCGTTAAACGACTAGCCACCACGGAGCCCGCTGTACCAGCCCCGACAATAATGAAATCATACTTCGCTAGGCCATTTTTGAGCGCCTCATCCGCAAAGTCTGCTGGCCATTGGTCAGCACGAGTCAGATCACAATTCGCTGCACTTATCGCTGCAAAGAGACTGCTAACAAGCGTATCCGCACGCCCCACAAGCGACGCAGCACAGCTGGGCGCCGACGGCGTCGCGACGTGTGATGCACTCTGATTAATTACGCTCGCTAATGCAGCGCCGCCGATAACTGCAAGCGTCAATAATATTAGCGCCACCGATACTGCAGAAGAGAGCATAGTTAGATAATGTGTTTACAGTTAAGATGAAAACTATTTTCTCTGTTTTACCCAAAAGAAAAATGCGAAATCTCGTTTGACCGCAAATGGGCAGCATTTCGAAGCGTGTAAACGGAGCGCCGAAATTCAACTGAAAATCTTAATTTTTGGTGCAATAAAAGTGTTTTAAAATAAAATTATATTTTAATTTGCTTGACGTTGGCTTCTTAATCGTGGCATTTTTTGATGGCAACTGTGATAACAACAATACTCTAAAATAATTTTTTTTACATTTTGTCGCAAAATTTCAGCTTTGTTTTAACAAAAGATTATCATATCAAGCGGGGATGGGATTTTTCTCTGCGTTGTCACTCATTTATATAAAAATTTGTTGTTGACATTTTACGTGTTGCGTTTACGTTTTGACTCAATGTAAAATAAAAAAGAAATAAGAAATGTAAATATTTATATATATACGGACATATGTGTTAACAATAGCTTGTTTATATAAAAAAATGTTTATCTGTTATATGTTTGCGTACTTGCGCCATTTTTTTAATTTTTATTGTTATAAACATACACAATTTAATAAATGCTTACCCACCTGTTTTGTTGTTGTTTCCATGCATTCTGAATGAACTGTTAACGAACTTTTTATATAAAATCAAAATAATTCACCTCCAATACTTTGCGCGGATGTGTTGTACGCTCATAAGAGCGTGAGAGAGCGAAAATGTTGAATTAGTAATAAATGAAAGCACTTCTACGGCAGTGGCTGTCAAACTGTACACGTACTCGTAATGCTATTCAAATTGTGTTGGCTTATTTATTTCTTAACCCTGTGTAAGTTCTGACAAAGAAATTTTCGCTAATTCTTTATAAATGTACGAAATTCGTAATTCGTTTTTTTTTCAATTTCTGGAATTTTTAGATTTTTGTTTTATGTGCAAAAGTATTAAATATCATAACAGCCATCAAATTTTGTTAGCCCGGGAGGATGAGAGATTTTCAGGAGAATACGGCCAATACGCTCGAATAAACTCATTGAAGTTTGTCATTGCATGACAAAAAGCTTTACCCCAAAGACATTACTAGACTTAGATACTCACTAAAGTAATTAAAAAAACGGGCCGAATAGAGCTTAATTGGAATTATAAAATAGACCAAACAAATTGCATAAGACCTTATTAAATAAAAATATAAATTAATTGTATTTTCCAGAAGCCTCATTTAAGCATCTGATCGCAGACTATATTCCTGTCCAGTAAACAAAATGAGAGGTCATTTCGTTCAGAAGGCAAGATTGGAAATTCGTAGTCTGAGTGATAAAAGTACTTCGGCAATGCGTTCAAACCCATGCAAAGGTGTATAGATCGTGGTGGAGGGTATTTTGAAAAACAAATTAGCGATTTTCGATGTGCAATATGTTTTTCTTCTCTAATCCCGAAATATAAAAAGCAACGCTACAACATGAAATGTTTTATCTGCAAACTTCGGAAAATTCCAACTTTGCCAAAACCGATAATAGCACTTCAAAAGCGATCAGTCAAAAAGTCAGACGGTAAATAGAGAATATTAAAGCGTCTTCACAAGGCCTCGAACAGCCATCGAACATATTTACTTAAGACACTTCCGTCAGATTATTACTATAATTTCCACCTCTCTATCCACATTCAAGTTGTTGTTTTCAGGGTTTTGTATCCATTCGGTCCACTCAGTCTAAAATTAGATCCGTTGGTAAGAACCGATCTACGCTAATCTCCTTAAGAAACTTATTTTGCAACCATCTGCTCTTTGTTAGTCTGCTGCTCTTAAATAAAGAAAATAACGACATGGTCAGTTCTTCGTCGATTACAGATATTTTATTACTAACATCTAAAGAATTCGTTGTTTTTTCTTAAATTCTATTTACATTTTCGATTAGATTCAAAAAATAAATAAATAAATTACAAAATGCATTAGACTCCATGCGCATAAAAGCGACGGAAACATGTACCCCATATAACAGCACAGACGCTTATCCCCCCAGACATTTCTACGCTATCATAGCTAGATTATCGTGTTCTTAATCCAAAACTCTTTGATCATGTCAGAACCCTTCTCCGCGATCATTATGACCGGCGCATTTGTGTTAGCGCTCACCAACTTGGGCATAATACTCGCGTCGATCACCCGCAAGCCCCGAATGCCATATACGCGCAACTGGGGATCAACCACCGCTTCCGGATCCCAGTAAGGACCCATTTTGCATGTTCCCACCGGATGATATATGGTCACTGTGTAATGGCGTATCATGCACTCCCAATAGGGGTCGGTGAACATCTGCAGATGCTGACAGCCGGGCCATTTAATCGATGATATGCGTGAACCGAAGCGTTGCATGGCTTTCGTACGTGAGAGAGCTACAGCGATTTTTGCGCCCTCTATCAAAGTTTTTGTATCGAGATCATCACTGAGATAATTGGGAAAAATGTATGGATAATCGAATGGATTGTTGCTGCGCAATTTAATCGATCCAATCGAACGTGGACGCAACAACATTGGTATTATGCTCCATGCGTCGCGATTGTTGATCTTCTCGAATACCGTGCGATAGAAGGCATCTGTAAGTCCGTGTGCTTTGCGCAACTGAGAACCGCCATCTGAGTTTGTAGAACCAGAGACAAAGTGAAACTCAATGTCAGGCCAATCTAATGAAGCATTGGCGTATTTTGTATTCACAAAGGCTAGGCCCTCAACACCGCCGAGTATGGTAAGTGGACCTTGTCCAAAGACAGCATACTGCAGCACTGTTGACATGGAATGGAAACGACTCTCCACAATAGAAACAGGTTGATTGACCAGGAACGTAAGACCGCCCAGTCCAATGTGATCCTGCATATTCTCACCGACATTAAGTTCCTTAATGACGGGTATGCGATGTTTAGCTAACTCTTTACGTGGCCCAATGCCTGAAAGCATCAAAAGTTGTGGCGAGTTAACAGAGCCGCCTGATAAAATAACCTCTTTAGTTGCACGTATTCGATAAATTCGCTGATTCTTGACAAATTCAACGCCGAAAGCCAACTTGGTCACAGGATCAATCATGATACGCGTTACATGCGAGTGCATGGATATGTGTAGATTGGGACGCAGACGTGCAGGTCTTAAGAAGGCTTTAGCCGTACTGCAGCGGCTGCCGCGACGTGTGGTGCCTTGGGCTATCATAAAACCGGCTTGTTTTTCGCCATTCAAATCACGATTTTCATAACCCATTTCAACGCCTGCTTCCACAAAACTTGCGGCAAGTGGTGTATGATAAGGCGCTTCGCCTACTGTTAAGTAGCCACCGGTGGAATGATATGGTGTGCTAGACAAGTAGGGGTTTGTATTGTCCTCTGATTTTTTAAAGTAATACAATGCATCGCGATAACCCCAACCTGGATTTCCCGACGCCTCCCAATTGTCGTAGTCGATTTTGCTACCACGTAAATACAACATGTAGTTCAGCACGCTGGATCCGCCCAAGACCTTACCACGCGGCCAGTTGCAACGTCCATTATTCATGGCTGGGAATAAATAAAAAGAAATAATTTCAAAACTAATTAAAAATTCACTCTAAACTTACCTAAACAAAATTTGCCGGTCGGCTCTGTTTTATATTTCCAATCCATCTTACTCAATTGTAGATATCCCGCCATTAAGGGCACGTCCGAAATTTCTGTCTCATCTCCACCCGCCTCCAACAGCAACACATTCCAGTTTTCCACCTCAGTCAGACGATTTGCAATCACTGCACCCGCTGACCCAGCGCCTATCACTATGAAATCATATCTGTCTAATATCTCATCAGTGGGCAAATCTTCTGCCCTCGACTCGGGATCCATTATCTCTTCGTACTGAAAATAAGCTATCGCCGCCACCAGCATTGGTATAAACCAGCTGTTACTGGTGGCTGCTGTGACAGCGCCACCTATCGCCGTTGCCGCGCCCACAATAGCGCTCATCTCGATTGAAATTTGAATAAAAGAATTTTAATTATTTAAGGCTCTGTTAGCAAGCTCATGAACGAAGTCAACTGAAATTAGAAATAAAAAATCTTTTATAAGAATAAGAATATGAAAACTCATTCTAAGCAGAAATACATGTTAAGATTTTCTGAAAGTTAAAAGAAAATAAAAAAACAATACAATACAGGATGATTAAATTAAAATAAATATAACAAAAATAAGCAAATTAAACTAAATGAAAAGGAATAAATCGGAAACAAATAATTAAAAAAAATTAAAAAATAAAATAGTAAAAGGTTAATATAAATAAAACAAAATAATTTTAAATTTAAATTTAATTGGATTAAATTAATTGCACAAATAAATATAAAATAAGTAATAGTAAAAACCTAAAACAATATTTTATAGTAAAATAAAATAAAAAATTTAAATAAAATAGATAAGATTAGATTAAATGAAAATAAGGCGAAATAAAATGGAAAAATAAAATAAAGTTATTACGAAAGACGATAAAATTGTTAAAAATTTAATAATCAAAATAAATTATACAAAAATAAAAAAATAAAATATAACAATGTAAAAATATATAATATAAAAATCAGTAAAATTAAATAAATTACGCAAATCAAGATAAAGATGAAAGGCTGGAATATCATTTTATAAAATAATGTAAAATAAAAATTATGGTGTACAACTTTGCTTCCGCCGTTTTCCGATTGGTGGCTGTCCCGGCTGAGGCTGGTTGAAATACATAGATGATAATGCCTTTAAAGTGAGTGTGGACAGTGCCTAACGAATTGTCATCGCCGTTTCAGTGACAGTTGTTCTTGTTTTCATATTATTCACGCTCATTTGCGGGAAATTTTACTTTTCTGTCACAATTCGAAAAAAATGCAGCTGAAGCGCTCGAATGCTCTCAGAAACTTACGGTTATGCTGCTCTGAGTGAAAGATCGTGTCGGGAGTGGTTTCAACGTTTTAAAAATCGTGATTTCTATGTCGAAGACAAACATGGTTATGATTTGTATTTGGTGGGATCAGCACGGTGTGATTTACTACGAGCTCTTAAAACCGGGTGAAACCATCACAGGAGATCGCTACCGAACGCTACTGATGCGCCTTAGTCGAGCGCTAAAAGAAAAGCGGCCACAATATCAAGAGCGACATGACCTATTCCGTTCGATGGCACACGGCCTGGCAGATCAACATTTTCAATCCTTCGAAGAATTGGAAAAAGGGATTGCTTCATGGATAGCGTCAAAAGAGGACTCCTTTTTTCGAGCCGGGATCCGAAAATTGCCGGAAAGATTGGAGAAAGTTGTCGCTATCGAAGGACAATACGTTGAATAATATATATGTAAACACTTTTTCGCAATAAAGCTTTTAATTTTAGAAGAAAAAACGGCAGAAGCAAAGTTGTGCACCTAAAACTACTAAAATAAAATCAAGTAGCAAATAGAAAATAAAATAAAATAGAGATAAATCAAAATAAAATAGAGAAATAAAAAATTAAATTGAAACAAATGTACCGCTGAAGCGATTTTTAGGTGAGCTCCTCCTCCAATTTGTAGTTTTGCGTCCTAATGTTTTTCCAACAAATGAAGGGACCTACATTTTACACAAAGCCGCCTCCGAACGGCTGATGGTTTTCTCATTATTATTTTCTCTTTATTTCATGTCAGAAATACACCCGGAGGGGTAGACCTTTCCTGCCGAGGGGCAACCGCAATTAGAAAATTTAACTTAATTTTTTATTTAAATTAATTTTCTAAAACGTTTAGATGTTGGTCGCACAGAGATTTAAACCCGAGCCTTCTGCAATGCTAACTACTCAGCTACCGCGGCCGCCGATGTACAATTAAAATAGTATAAATGAAGTGAGTAAATAATATGAGACAGAACTGAATTAACATTAAAAAGATTTAATAGAAATAACTGAAATCAATTTAGAAAGTAATAATAAATAAATAAATTAAATGAAGTTAAATTAAATTATACGAAATGAAATTCGAAAGAGTTCAATTAAAATAAAATAAAATGAAAACAATAAAATATATTGATCTGAGCAAAAGATAAAATAAAATGAACATAAATTAAATTAAATAATATTAATTTAAATTAAAATAAAATAAATTGTATTATTGTATTTCAAATAATTTCCAAAGAGTGAAAATTAAATCAAATAAAAACATTAAGAAATATAGTTAAACTGAAAATAATATTTAAATGAAATTAATCCAATAAAACAATAATTTACACATCCTATTAACTCAAAGATGGTCATAAAATAATTATTTGAAGTAGAAAAAAAAATATTTCGGAAAAATATTTTGGAAAAATAACAGAATAATATAGACGAATGGTAGACGAAATTAAAGTGGAATTTTGAAATCGATGTAAAATTGTTTCATTGGTTAAAACTATTTGTTATTTCATTTTAATATTTATTTTTCATCATGTAAATTCTTAATGATATCTTTTGTAAGTAAAAATCAAATTAATTAATTTTGCAAGAAATCAATGAGTTAAATACATAAACCGGGTTTTTGGCATAGGCTTTGGATACACATGGACAAAAATTGCGGTCTTATTTCGATCAAAGGTAATTATTTGACAAGCGATTAAAAAAACTCTTCGATGATAAATAGTTAATTTAAATAAAATTTAATTAAACCAGTTCTTCTAAATGCGGCCAGCTCTCGGCAAAGAGGCAATTGTGTATAAATATAGGTATATATTCAAAAAATATAAAATTCAATTTATTTTTATTTTAATTTTTTGCTGTTTTTACAAGGGCTCTATATTTTCTTACAATAATGCTGAAGTCATAAGAAGAAAAGGCTCTTGCCAAAAATCGGATTTCACAATTATTTATTACGGTGTACCGTTTTTTTTAAATCACAAAAGTCACAATTTATACTACAATATTATAAAATTTAAGAATTATAAAATAATACTCTTAAAATAATTACATAGACGTAACATACTGTTGCGAAAATGCGAGGCGAATGTCAGATGTAAGAGAGAAGCCGATAACTAGTAATTCTAGAACGATAAAACGAGAACCTTCGATAGCGAACAACTCGATTATTTTACACTTTCTTCTACGAACAGCCTGCTTTATAAGGGCGACACTCAGCTGCCAAGAAGTCAGTTACAAAGTGAACTCGTTGGCGATAACATCAGTATAGAGTCGTAAAGTAAACGCGTTGGAGTTTACATTTAAGTAAAGTAAACTGTGATAGTCTTATATTGTGAAAGTTTATGCAAGTGATTGTAGCTAGTAAAGTGCATTGTAATTGAATTGTGAATTATTGTGTAAATAAAGGACATTGGATAAATTCTTTGTAACGAAAGAAACTGCAAATAAAGTTGGCGAGTTTTATTTAACAATACAGAAATCGTACCCGAAGGATTATGAATCGAGAAAAAAGGTGCCGAAAAAATTTTTTTCATAATGTTTAGTATTTTTTTTTCAATTCATAAGCGATAATTGATATTTGACACTTGCAGCATCGAAGTATTTTGCTGGTACCAAAATTTCCTGAAATGATGACGCTGATACGTTTCTGGGGTCGATTCACTATAATCATCGTATTTTGTAAATGCCTTTTTATTCTCTGTGCAAAGAAGATTTTAAAGAGAAAGTATAGAAAAGGTTACCAGTCCATTATCAAGTGAATCAAATCAAAAAAGAGATTTTTTAAGGTTGACGACTGTCGTTTTCAAATAATATTTTTGAGAAGTTCAAAAAAATATAAAAAGTAGAACGAAAAACGTCAATATGTAAAACTTTTTCTGTTATATTATTATTTTTAACCATTTATAGTTAAATAACAATGAGCCGCCTTGGTTTGAATCACAAATATGCGATATACTTGTAACCAAATTTCGTAATAGTTGGCACGCGCGTGTTTGTGTGTGCGTGTGATGATACGTATTGCGTGCATAATTCCATCACTCAGCATTCAAATAGCAGTACATACACGTATAAACATACTGGTATAGGTAACACTTTAATACAGAGTCAGGTGTCAAGCGCCATTTGAATTTCTTTTACTTCCATTTGCCGATTGCAGCTTAGCAAATTTTCATTTATTGCCTAAATAAAGCGAGCAAAGCATTGAAGTCGAAAAATATCACAATCACATTTATTGGGTCTTGAAAAACGAAAAGATATTTGGGGTTTGGCTTGCAGTGCTCACCTCGACAAAGGCTAATTACTATTCACTTAATGTCAGCAGCGGTCGATTGTCCACTAAAACACTTCCGTACAGAGTGCTTATACTATGAATATAAAGATATACGAGTATATGAGCACACACATATATATATATATATATGCTCGTATATAATAGACATGTGAATATTTTTATTGGCATTGTTTGCCGATGATAATTTGGCCGAACAGAAAATGAGTAATAATTGGCATTTCGGGTACACATTTGGACAACCGCAGTAGCCAATTGGTCAGCAAAACGTGATTTCATGCGAAGGATAACTGGTTTCGATCCTGGATCGACCAATCCCCATAATTTTAGAGTTTATTTCTGATATAAAATATGAACCCATCAAGCTTTGAGCGCGTCTTAAGAGCTAATAGGTTCCTCCATGAGTTGGAAAAATATCAAAGCTAACACCACAAATTAGAAGAAAAGCCATGCCGGAAATCGTTTTGACATCGATTAGTTCTATTTTTTATGAAACTCCCACTGAATATTTTGTTTTCTTTTCCATTGCCTGATTTCATATCTCTAACAAATGTGTGGAAAAATTAAGGGGACTATTTGTACTTGTTCCTAGTCGAACAATGAATCATCTGTGCCATAGTCATCGATTGTGGAATTAGATTCACCATATCCAGGAGTTCCATCTGAACTGTCATTCAGGAAGCTACGGAACTGAATCCTCCACTCAGTACATTAACCGCTAGATCCTCTTTGAGGACCCCCGCTCCGACTCTTATTAAATTATCCAAATATTCTGGGTAGTCTATCGCTGTCTTTTCATAATCTACAATCTGCAGTTGTTTTTTTTATCTATTTGTAATAGTTTCTGCGACATCTTTC